CCAACGTCGTCTTCAACGTTCCTATCGACACTAACATATTCAACGTGGAGGCTACAGACCGTGATCTACAAGGCAGCATTGTGTACCTGAAACCATCGGATACCTTGCTGGACCAGGCTACTTCGCTGTGGACTCCAGAACAGGAGCTGTGACAGTCACGGCGTCTTTAACCACCGATACATCCTCATCATATGTGGTAAGAAAGATATTAAATCAGCTTCTTTTTTCAAAGGGTTTTGCTATTTTTGGATAAAATGAAATTAAATTGATATAGTGTTGAATCTAGGCTTATCATTGTCGTGTTACGTTTCCAGCTGGGTGTGATGGCGCTATGACAGTGCAAGACCTCTCCAGAAGGACTATGCCAACTTAACCACATTGAGGTGAACCGTAACCCCAGTATTCACGCCAGAACACCTATGCAAGACGTATTCCAGAATCCTTTGCTCTTGGTGCAAATCTTGTCAAAGTTACAGCCACTGATGCTGACTCGGTGAGTATTAGAAATATGTTCTTACAAGGTTTCATAATAAATACGTTTCAGCGTATCTGCACATCATAATGTCAGGGGTATGTTCCTCCATAACATGTCTGCATTATCACTTTTCAGCACACTGTTCACTATGAGGATCGTGTCCGCCAACCCTTCTGAAGGAACACAGTACTTCTATATGAACAAAGAGACACAGGGATGTTCACCGTCGGTCGTCCTCTCACAGAAATAACATCAGATGGATTTATAGTAAGATTTTACTGGCCTAAATCTATAATTACACGGTTTAATGATTTTTAAAGATTGTTCCGTGCATTAAACAATAATAACATCAAAGAACCACTCTGGATCATAACGTTAAAAATCACTCCTTTGCCTTTCAGTTCAACGTTCGTGCCTTTGACATCGACGGCGTGCCTCCCCAGCAGAGCTCAACGTTAGCCCAAGTGACTATATCCATAGACCGCAACCAGTTCGGTCCTCTCTTTGTTGACGTCCCATACGAACAAACCATTAGAGACCATTCCTGTTGGAACAAGCGTTCTACAGGTGTCTGCCCGCGACAATGACCCCCAGGGCTCAGCCTTCTCCAACATATCGTACGTCCTTATCGGGGACGACTCTATGCCGTCGTACTTCACCTCAACAGCGTCACGCGGCACCATCTCTGTCAGGGCTAGTCTTTACTGCGGAAACACATGGCATATATCATAGGACGAGTAGGTAGCTTACGACGGAGGTGCCCCACCTCGTAGTGCTACGGCAGTAGCTAAGATCCGAGTCTTGAGGAACTTATTTGAGCCCCAATTCAGTGAGCGCAACTATGAAACAGAAATTCTGGAAACTATCGGATGGTAGGGACATCGATACTACAGGTCCGAGCTTTTGACAGCGACACAAGGGTAGGTACTTTTGATCCGTAACACCTGGTGTCAGGACTGATATTGAGTGCCCATTCTTACATCTTGACTGCTATTTTGCCTGTTCCGCCAATGGAATGTGTTGTGTCAAATATTGGTTGTACTGGCTGAACTCTGACGTTAAGGTTATATATACTCATAGAAACGAGTTAGGAAACACCTGAAGTACAAGTGTTCCCATTATTCTTTTCGAAATTTCACCACAGTGCAATACAAAGCTTGTGAAGAAACCTGGAAAGAATAAAGGAACACCTGTACTTTCTGGTGTTCCTTATTTGCTCCATGAGTATATTTATAGATTGCTTTTCAACAAATACATTTTTAATATGATGCTTGGAATTGCATTGTAATGGCATTCTTCATTATTTCAGCCTCCCTTCAACACAGTCCAGTATGAAATGCAGAGTGGCGCGCGTCAGTCTGACATTTATTTCCGGATGGACAGTTCTTCAGGAGCTATCTCAGTCCGAGAGCCCCTCACTGGCGACACGCAGAACCAGGCTACGTTCAGGTACACGAATCTCTTAGCCTCATATATAAGGACCAAACACTCTGTGTCCAACGACCTTTCATCTTATGTCGTCTACTACCAAATACACCATTTTCTTGTCTTGCAGTTCCAGGTGTTGGCGCGGGATCACTCCGTTCTTGGTGTCCAGTCTTCTGGCTAATGTCAGGATCAACGTCCAGAGAACTTTGAACCCCCTTTCTTCCTGACGGAGCCGTACCAAGCCACCACCATCAACTTCAACACCCCCGCTGGATCCAGTGTCTTCACTGTTTCAACATCGTGACAACGACCTCAGGGTATGTCTTGGCAATAATATGAAGTCATCAAATAAACAATGACATATATACCAACATACATTTAGCAGAAATATACCTTGTTTTCATTTGATCATTTCCTCTTGTTCCAGGCTCCTTTTAACACTACTGTATCCTACACCGTTATCGGCGACGACAATGCTCGAACATGTTCACCAATTGGTGCACAAAGTGGCGATATTTCAACGAACAGCCAAGATCTTCAGTCGGACACTGCTTCTGAGTACAAGGTGATTTACCGCTTCATAATCAACATGTTTAAAATTCTATGTTTCATAGTATAGCAATAATGCGCGTTTTAAGTCAAATACATAATGTTAAAATGATCTTTTATATTCCTGCAGCTCCGAGTACTGGCCAGAGATGGTGGTTTCCTTCGCTGACAGCGACAACGACAGTTCTCATCAACGTTGAACGCAACCTGAATGTTCCCCGGTTCCTCACCCAGAACTACAGTGTCAGCATATATGAAACTCATGACTTGGGGCTTCCCATACTACAACTATCAGCTATTGACCTGGATGTGTCTGTAAGTAATATAATCCTCATTTGGTAAATGAACCAGCATTTCTATTGACAACCCTGTGTGCCCAAGGCATCGCGGTATTCAAACAAATAGGAATCGTCCAGCTTTACAAAGAATCTTCTGGAAAAACTTCTTGTATTTACAATCATGTTGTCTACTTCAGAGTCCATACAATGACGTCACGTTCAACATGGTCGGGGACGGTCAAGCTCAGGAGTATTTTGCTATCGACCCAAGCATCGGCTCTGTCTATGTGAAGAAGGCCTTGACACTCATCTCCACCAAGCAGTTTGTAGCCATCGTGTCCGTGCGGGACAACGCCCCTAACCCCCTGACTGCTGCAGACAACGCCTTCGTCACTATCAACGTCGTCAGAAACGACCACCTCCCTGTCTTTGTTGGCGATTCTTGCAATCGTGATCTGAGCCAGAATGTTGCTGTTGGAGCCAGTGTCACACAAGTCGCTGCCGTCGACAGTGATTCAACGGTATGTTAAAACGATAATTATTATACTAATTATGATTATACCATCGTATTGATGTTAAAAATATTATTAGTGTCTATCATTATTTCAAATACGTCACCATTATATTTATTTTTATGAGATACTTTTTTTTCAGAATACTCCATTTGGCCGTATCACTTACGACATCATCGGAGACGACTCTTCGCCCGTATACTTCAACATCAACCCTTCTTCCGGTCTTGTGTCGGTCACCAGGTCTCTGTCCCAGGAGAATGTTGATAAGTACCAACTCCGTGTACAAGCTCGTGACCATGGCGTGCCCTTCAAGTTCAATACTACTGTCTGCGTTTTGACAATCACAAGGAACTTCCGTGCGCCAGTCTTCATCAACGATCAACACTCCACCACAGTCGACGAGACTCTGCCTCTAGGCAGCGTCATCCTCACCGTCAATGCTACTGACGCAGATAGTCTGGCACCGAGCAACATCGTCCGTTACGAAGCAGTAGCAAATACTGGCGATGAGGAATGTTTCCTAGTCAATGAGATCACTGGACAACTAGTCCTCCGTCGAGCCCTTCTCTACAGTCCATGCACAGCTGCTGTCCTCAAGGTATGTACAAACAATATATATCACAATCATTTTATTAACTGAATTCGTTCCTTTAACCGTTAAATATTTAACTGGTCACAATACTGTCATCATTAAAATTCATTCAAAATAACATTATCAACTTGATCTCTACAGATGTACATACGGGCTTATGATCTCGGAGTTCCCCGCTTGACCAGCTCGGTGGCGAATGTGACGGTGATTGTCAACCGAAACAGTTTCACTCCCCGAGTTTCTCAACACCCAGTACAGGATATTCCTTCCCGAGACCGAACCAAGTGGATCTCTGGTGTATAACGTCACAACACTGGACCGGGACACCGTGTCTCCCTTCAATGTCGTCCGTCATAGCATCATCGGTGACGACTCCGCAACCACGTTCTTCACCATCGACGACGTGTCTGGACAAATCACTCTTGCTCAGTCCATACTTCCTGACACTGAGACTTCATACCGGGTAGGTGTTGTAAGAAATAACTTTAAACATTATGTAGATTTTCTGTTGATAAACGCTAAGCGAAAAAGGGAATATCCTGTATATTCACATTCACATTTATGTTTTAGATCCGAGCAATGGCCACTGACCAAGGGACGCCTGCACGGACAGCTACAGCCACAATCAATGTCCAAGTGACCAGAAACCTGTTTGCGCCTCGGTTTAACCCTCTCAACTACGAGGCCGACATATCACGAGACCAGTCCCTGGGTACTTCCATCATTAGAGTGAATGCTACTGACAGTGACACCAAGGTATGTGATGCCCGTTTTGCAAGAAAAGTCTGTTATTCAAGTACATTTTGCATGCTAGTAAACACTTTTGTAATTATGATATTATTTTCACAACGTTCCTTTGCCACAGAGCCCCTACAACAGCGTGCGGTACGAGGCCACAGGAACACAGCAGGCTCTTTCTTACTTCAGTATCGACAATGTTGATGGAACCATCTCTGCTCAACGATCTCTCACTCTGGACGACACACGACGCTACAATCTATACGGTAAATAAACATATAAAAGGTCCTTTCAGACGTTGTTGATTTAGATACGTTTTCACTTTTCAATAAGTTGCAATAATTTGCATGTGCTTGAGTTGCATTGAGTAAATGTTACTGTTTGATTTTATGTTTACTTATATTCTGGTTTCCTCTGCTCATCAGATGACGGTGAGAGCCACCGATCTTGGCACTCCAACACAGCAAAGTACCCAGGTTGCCACTGTGAGGATCAACGTCCTCCGTAACAACAACTGCCCACAGTTCATCAACCTCCCGGCAAACATCACCATTCCAACCTCAGTCAACTTTGGCAACAGTTTGTATAATATCACCGCTCTTGACAACGATCCACCTGGACGATTCAGCACTCTCATTTACGACATCATCGGCGACGACAATGCACCTGTGTACTTCAGCATCAACACTTTCAGTGGTGCAGTCAGCGCACTGCCCAACCTGGTGTCTGACACCTTGACCATGTACAGGTTACGAGTACGTGGCCGGGACGGCGGCTCTCCTTCCTGCGAGATATATGAAGTCCTCACCATCCACGTACGGCGTAACGAACACCCACCCACTTGGATCTCCAACGGTAACTTCAGTACAACCATCTTGAGACACACAACATCCTCAGCCCCATCACTCAAGTCTTTGCTGATGATCAAGACACAAATGTAAGGACAACGGTTTTCATGTATTTCATGCTTACAGAAAACAAGCTTCCCTTTGGATACTAGATTGTTCATGTGACACATGAGTGTATTCTAATTTCTTGTGAATGTTCTGTCTTCAGATTCCAAACAATGTTGTGATATACAGTCTCGCACAAACATCAAACTACCACGACATATTCTTCGTCGATGACGTCAACGGCAACGTGTATTTGAGGACTTCTCTCATTGGAACAACCAGTAACAGTTATGAGGTAGGCACAGACATATCCGGGCTGACATATTGTTAACTCGTGTCATATTAATTCATGATAACTACTTCTCGACAACATTTTGTGAAGTCATATAAAATTACTTTGTCATAATTACGTCTGATTATAATGTAGCTATGTTCTGATAAGTATCAGTAGGTATTTGATAACACTGACCCTCTCTGCCTGCAGCTGTCCCTCGTGGCGACTGACCAGGGGTCTCCGGCACTGTCCAGTACTCCCGCCAAATTGATCGTCAACGTCATCAGGAACGTCAACCCACCCATCTTCACCATGGAGCCTTACACACAGAACATCAGCCAGAATGTCGTGACAGGATTCCAGGTCATCACCGTGTTAGCAACAGATGCCGACCTCACTCCACCGTACAACACCCTGACATATGACATCATCGGTGACGACTCTGCACCAACCTACTTCGTCATAAACCCATCATCTGGTGTGATCAGCTTGTCCCAGTCAATCTCCTCGGATGTCACAGATCAGTACCAGATTAGAGTGCGTGTCCAAGATGGCGGCAGTCCTCGACTCAGTGATGTCATTGTGGTGCTGGTTAATGTTGAGAGGAACCTGTTCCCACCAACCTTCACTAGCAACTCGTATGGAGAGGTCATCCTGGAGTCTCGAACCGTGGGAACTCGTGTTCTCAGAGTTTCTGCTAATGACCTTGACACAACAGTAAGTACCGAATATTTCATACTCATCTTCGGTGACAGCCCAGTAACTAGGGTCCAGTAGAGTTTCTACTACACCTGACATTTGCTATATCAATGTTTTTATTTTTCAGACTCCAAACCAGATTGTGCGTTATGGTATGTTAGGAGACACAATTGATAGCACCTACTTCATGATTGAAGCCGTCACTGGCGACGTCATCGTCAGACGTCCTCTCACCGACGACACCCAAAACACAGTTGTGTTTGCTGTAAGCATCAACCTTCATCTACTATAATATATATCAGTATTTAGCAAATGAAATATAATATACTAACAGTCTTATGTATCTACTATGTTACATTATTTACCATTCGTTCTGAAATGAATCATTAGTACATATGATGTCTTTTGTAGTTCCAAGCAACAGCAAATGACCTTGGCGCCCTCCAACGTAACGCAACGCCAGTTGACGTGACGATCACCGTCAGGAGAAACCAGAACAGCCCTGAGTTCCTCCAGACGTCCTATACAACCACAGTAACGCAGAACCACCCTGGGGGAAGCAGCGTCTACCAGACAACTGTTGCAGACAGGGACACTGTGGTACGAACAACATACTGATGTACCGATATATAGATGTATATTCACTACACTACTAAATACATACAATTTCCTCATTATTTTCATTGTTTTATAAATTCGATTTTATTATTGCAATCTCTGAGATTAAGAAAATACGTTTTATCCTAACTAAATCGGTTTAATTTCAGGCTCCTTTCAATGTTCTTTCCTTCGAACTTATTGGCGACGATTCTGCGACATCATTTTTCACCATCAACCCAAGCAGTGGTCTCATCACGCTGAGAAATGGTGCTGATCTGACAACAGACACTGAAATTCGCTACATAGCCCGTGTTCTTGCTCGCGATGGCGGCGTTCCTTCCAGAAGTGCGACGTCGGTTGTAGTCATCAACGTGTTGAGGAATCTGTTCCCTCCTGTGTTCATGAATGTTGACTTCTTCAGGACTTCAATCAAGGAAACACTGACCGTGGGGTCTAACATTGCTGACGTGAATGCAACAGATGCCGACACCACGGTACGTCTCATTACGTTAATGATAACGTTCTTAAGTAAATATCCCTAAGTCCTTCAAATATGATATGTATCTTTGTGATATACTTGTAAAACCTTTCCTTTCTGTTACAGGCTCCAGAAAACACGATTCAGTACTCCATTGAAGGTGATGATGTGGCACCAGAGTACTTCTTCATCAACCCTAACACTGGAGAAATTACTTTATTGAAACCTGTGGAAAATATCAACATCAATCTCTTCAGGGTGAGTACCCGGTAAAGTCATATGTGTCCTTACAAGCTAAACGGTGATTCGGTTTCAGCATTATGTATTTTATGCTTATACTTATAAAATCTCTCCCAAAATGTCTCCCTCAGATCCGAACGACTGCGACAGATGGTGGCTCACCCGGCAGGAGTGCCGTTACTTACGTTGAAGTAACAGTTCTAAGAGAGACTGGTCGCCTGGCCTTCACCCTTCCCTACTATCGGGTAGTCATCAGTGAGAACACAGCGGTTAACAAAAACATCTTGGTCGCTCTCGCACAACCAGGGGTATGTACACTACATCATTACAGGTCATTTACACAACGTTGACAGTAATCTCCAAGACATCCTAACATCTAGCATTTGTCATATCAGTTGATTTTTCAGCAGAACTATATTTTGTCTTACTATCTTTCTCTCATTTCAGATTGCGTCCTATCGCGTGCTTGGGATCTCGCCCGCACCGACCTTCTTTGACGTCAGTTCCCAGATTGGTGCTATTGCTGTTCGCCGTGATTTGAGACTTGACCCTGCTCGTCTGACATTTTACCAGCTCCAGATCGAGGCTACCGCTACACTGGACATCAGTGTACAGACCGCCACAACCGTGGTTAACATCACCGTAACACGGAATGAGAACGGGCCTGTTTTCACAGACAACAGCTATGTGACCAGCATCCGAGACACCACTGTCATAGGCACTGTGGTTCTCACAGTTACAGCATCCGATATGGATGGGGTGAGAATGATTCAACGTTTAACATTTGTTTAAAAACTTAAAATTAAAAAATGTTATATAATCTTGATATATAATCTTGATATATAATATCTTGAATATTTGAACTCTCATTTATTATTTTTGGATACTAAATGGTATTCTGACCGAATATTTAAACATTTCAGGATCTAGTAGACTACCGAATGCTGGACAGCAATTCTGCCGGAACGTATTTCTACCTCAACCCTAGAACCGGACAACTCTCAACCAAAATTTCACTCCGTGAAATTAACTTGCAGAGAGTCCAGGTAACTATCTACCAATGTATCCTATTTAAAATCCCACATCCAAAAATAGAAAATCCTTTCTGAAAGTACAATATTTACAATGTTTAAATAAGGCTTTTCTATTCCAGTTCCAAATTCAAGCTGGTGATCAACGAGCACCAGAGAGAACTTCACGGTCCAACGTCACAATTGTCATCGAACGTGATCAGCAACGACCTCAATTTGTTGACGATCCCTACACGACTGCAGTTCAAGAGACTACCGTTAATGGATCAACCGTCTACCAAGTGTCTGCTTTCGATGCTGATTTACAGGTAGGTCCAAATTACATATGACTTTAAAGAAAATGTATTTGAAGATATATACATATATATGCACAATGCCCCTGCTCAAACCTAACATAATAACGTAATAATCTTTGATGGTTTTCAGGGTTCCCTCACGTACGAGATCATAGGGGAGGGTGTTGCTCCAGCCTTCTTTGAGATCAACTCTAACACCGGCATGGTTACTGTCTATGACAGAGAAGCTCTCCTGTTTGACAGAGGGACAAACTACAAAGTAAGTTGATTTTAGAGACTCCTACTGATGATGAAAATGAGAACAACAACTATTATTTCGGAGACTTGTATACACATTGCTAATGTCGTCGTCGTTGTTGTTGCAGCTCGTTGTTGTTGTGTACGACTCTGCCTACCCTGCCGTTAGGGATACAGCCGAGATCGGTATTGCCGTCCTCCGCAACATCAACACCCCCATCTTCACCACCAACACCTACGAGGTTACCATTCCAGACACATACGAACTTGGCACCAACATAACACAGGTCTCTGCAAGTGACAGTGATGACGTAAGTCTAGCTTCAAGTTACATTTTATATATTACGACCATTGATAATGAATTTTTATCAAACGAGTAACATTTTTCTTTAGTTTTAATTCTTAAAATCTTTCATGATTTCAGAATATTGTCAAGTATGAGATCACCGGCGATACCCGCGCCTTGGAATTCTATTATGTGAATCCCGATAACGGAGTTATCTCACTGAAGAAGCTTCTCACAGAGGGATCCCAGCCCACTGATACGGTGAGAGTACATCCTTATGCAACTACAACTGACAAAAACAAAGAAAAAGTATTCTTGACTATTTTTGATCGGTTATTTTTAGGTCACATTATTTTTACGTCATCATAATTATTTTTCAGCTGACAATACGAGCCCGTGACCAAGGTGTCCCCGAGAAGTTCGGCAACTGTTTAGTGATCGTATCCATCAAGAGGGACGATCATGCTCCCGTGTTCACCCGCGTCCCTTACCGGGCCACTGTCCAGCGTCTCTCCCCCGTCAACATGACCGTAATCCGGGCGACTGCCACTGACCAGGACTTGCAGGGAACACTCCAGTATGAAATCCTCGGCAACTATCCCGCCCCAAGCTTCTTCCAGATTGATGCCGTTTTGGGTGACATTACAATCAAGCGACCACTTGCATTCGACAGCCTTCTGACAAACACTTACTATGTAAGTAGAAACAATTAAATTCTTTCACAAGTGACAGTAAATTACAAATCGTATGAACATATGTCTGACATTCGGATTGCATTTCGAACTTTGTAGTCGAAAGGTTATGGTAATATTGATATTGCAGGTAACCATGGTTACTTTTGACACGGTGTACCCCAGCAATAGAGCAACCGCAACAGCCACCATCTTCGTGGACAGGAACCCGAATGGTCCGACATTCAACCCCCAAGTGTATGAACGACAGATAGATGAAAACACATCCCTTGGAGCCCTTATCGTTGATGTCAACGCTACTGACTTGGACAACGTAAGATCATATTTCGTGTTATACATTTTGCTCTTATCGCATAAGTATTAGAATTCTGTGGAATAAATCTTGAGATTGAACCCTGTTTTAATGGTGTTAATTTTCTTCTAGGACGTCATCCGATATAGTCTCAAGGGCGATACTCTTGACAACGAATTCTTCTACCTGAACGAAGACACTGGTTACATTTCATTGAGAAAAAACCTTTTGTCTGTCAATGATCGCCAGTTTAGGGTAAGTAAAACATTCGTAATGTGAATCAATTATTGCAAAATACCAATAACTATTATACATATAACTATTTATGTTAACGTTGAGTTGTGACAATCAGTAACGATTATAGCAGACTTCAATTGCTCTCTGACCACCACTGATATCTCATTTACCTTCGTCCAGTTTAACGTTATCGCGAGTGACCAGTCCAATCCAGAACGAACCTCAACAGCCAACGTCATCGTTAACATCATCCGCGATGAGGCACCACCCCAGTTCGTCCAACTGCCCTACGACACGGTTGTCTTAGAGACAACAAACATCGGCACATCAGTCTACAGGGTCTCCGCCATCGACTCCGACATCAAGGGCACCATTGTGTACACGGCTACCGGAGACCTGCAAGCTCCTTACTACTTCAACATTAACCAAACAAATGGCATCGTCACCGTCCGCAACAACATCAGAGATGATGTCGCATCCAACTATGCTGTAAGTATTTCATATGTATACAGCGACGTTTTTCTATATCATACGAATATGTCATTTCATTTTAAATTATTTCGTTTCTGAAAACGTAGAGGTGGTTCACAAAACCAAATCTGTACTAAAATGTACAATAATTTATGTTCGTGTAGCTGCGTGTGGCCGCATTTGACAACGCCTCTCCCGGAAGGACTGCAACTGCCCTACTGAGTATCCAGGTTCTGAGGAACCCCAGCCCTCCCATCTTCACAAGCAGCCGGTATGAGATCACTATCCCAGAACACCAGAATCTTGGGTCTGTCGTACAACAGGTCATGGCCAGCGATCCTGACGGGGTAACTATTCATTTCATTGTTTCAAGATCATTAGACAACTCATAATATTCAGATGTCTTTAGAAATCTAACTGCACATCACGGATTATGTCAGTCAAAATGTTCTTGACTTGATTTACAGGACGTTCTGCGATTCAACCTGGAACTTGACAACAGCGCCAGTGCTTCCAACAGCCTCCTGGCTCTAGAGTACTTCTACATCCTGGAACAGTCAGGGGTCATCTACCTCCGTAAACCTCTAACAGACGACACGGTCGACACTGCCAGATTCACGGTATGTTTCAGATTCATGTGTTGGTCCTCTGCCTCTTCTGACTGACACTGTTTGTGACAATATGCACGTGAAGCCACAGGCCCTCCTGTCTTTGCGAGGATTAGAGATTTTATAGAATATATACAAAATTTTGAGATGACCCCAACTCGAAATGCTTCACAGTATAATACATTATGACATAATGAATTGTACTGTGAAGCATTTCGAGTCGGGGGTCATCTCAAAAACAATATTTTTTAAAATCATAATCCTCGCAAAGACACGAGGGCCTGTGCGTGAAGCTTGTATGATTTCCTTACTAATCTGGCCATTTATTGTCCTAGATGTTGGCCCGAGCACGTGATCAGCGAGACAATGAAAAGGAGTCGTTCGCTGTCGTCGTGATCAACGTCCAGAGAGACCAGTTCCTGCCCGTGTTCTCACAGACGCCGTACATTACCAGCCTTGAGGAGACCGTCCCTGTAGGCACCGTGGTCTTCAGACCATCGGCATTTGACAGAGACCTTGTGGTAAGTGTAAAGAATATGGAACATTGTCTTATTACGTTTACAGTGTTGGAAGATTAACAATGAAATAAGAACTAGGTAACATAACACAAGAAGTGATATTCCCATGAAAATACGCTATAAAATTGAAATGAACTGAAAATATGTTTCCAGGAAGAACTAGAGTACAGAGTGATCGGCGACACTATCGGCCCCTTTTACTTTGGCATCAACTCCACCAACGGCGTCATCACTCTGAAGAACAACCTCCGGACAGACAATGCCAATTTTAACTACACTGTAAGTATGGACACAAGGACATATACCTCACGGGCATTACAATACACATTGACAAATATATACTTGTAAAACGAGAATATGTACATTGTTTCCTTCCTGTGACATATTTAAAATGTATGTTTCAGCTGAGACTGACAGTTATCGACACCGCCTACCCGACCGAGGTCGCCACTGCCACAGTTGACATCAGGGTATCCCGTAACATCTACGCTCCCCAGTTCACCCAGTCACCCTACCGTGTAACCATCAACGAGACGGCTAGTGTTGGTGTCGGTATACTGCAGGTTTCCGCGACCGACGCTGATGGGGTACGTTCTGCACCAATACTATGGTATCTTCTATAAATATGAAATAACTTCCATTTAACATTTACAGTTGATGTCCTTTCACTGACATTTATAATGGTTTGTTCAAAGGACCGAGTGATCTACGAAGCAGCCGGTGACAATGACACTCTCCAGTATTTCTTCCTGTCCAGTGACACTGGGCTCATCAGCATCCGGGAACCCCTCACATCCTCATCCAGATCTGGTTATAGGGTGTGTAATATATCATATCTTTTACACTGACTGAGTGAGTGAGTGAGTATGGTTTTTAGCCACTTATACCAATATTCCAGCTGGAAATGTTATTTTTAGGGAATATTATTATTTTGTTCAGAAGTTTAATATTCACATAATTGAACAATAAATGTTTTATCCAGAAAGTTCAATAAAATGTACATATTGTTCTATTATCAGATGTCGATCATAGCTCGAGATCAAGGCAACCCTGAACAGAAAACACCCGTCCTCGCTCTCATCACCGTTATCAGAGACCAGGCTGCCCCCTTCTTTATAAACACACAGGATTACAGCACCATCGTGAACGAAGCCATACCAGTAGGCAGTAGCGTCTTCAACGTAACTGCACAGGATGGTGATCTTCTCGGCGCCATCAACTACGAACTCATTGGAGATTATCCTACCCAGAGTTTCTTCAGCGTGGACATACAGACTGGGCAGATTGTCACAACTGACAACCTAAAGAGTGACAGTCTCAGATCGGCTAAATATGTGGTAAGTGTGAATTTAATGATGCATATTGTTTTGCATGGATTTTTTCTTGCAGCTAAATGTTATGATAAGCTGGTCGAAATGAACGACACATTTTCCATATTGGTGGGACGTTACACATACATTGTATTTTTACAAGTGATTTCGCTTTCCAGGCCCGGATAATTGCTTATGATACAATCCGACCTATGGTACGAGCAACCTCAACAGTGGCTATCACCGTAGTGAGGAACCCTAACAGACCACAGTGGCTGCAGTCCGCTTACATCCAGACCATCTCGGAGACCATGATGGCGGGGACTAGTGTTCTCAACGTTACAGCCAATGACAGGGATGCTGATGTAAGTTATCAAGCGTTTGAAACACAATCCTGATTATAGTTGTATTTTATCCTTTTTCATGTATTTCCTTTGTGATGTCATTGCATAAATTGTGTTTCTGTTTTTATCGCAGGATATTGTCACCTATGAAATCCTCAGTCAAACCTCGATGCCTTTTGGTCTGACAAGTCCTTACTTCTACATTGAACGCCAAACTGGTATAATCACTCTCAGGGAGTCAGTCCTCAACGCCGACATCAGCCAAGTTCTGGTAAGAATGTTACATATACCTAAGAGTTGTTTATCATCGGACTCATATTATAGTAAGCATATAATTCTTCTTTAATAAACATATAATTATTTTTTAAACATAAAACATAACATATTTTAATTTTCTTACAGATACTCCTAAGAGCGTGTGACAACGGTATTCCTAGACAGTGTGCTAATTCCTCAGCAGGAATCGACATTATCAGGAATCAGTTCTCTCCGGTTTTCCAAAACCTTCCATATGAGATCGTTCTTCCAGAGGCCACAGAGGCGAGCACCCAGGCAACCCTTCTCAATGTCTCAGCCATAGATCAAGATCTGATTGGCCAGATTGTATATGAGCAGGTGCTTCCTGGCAGTGCCTACTTTGACGTCAATCCCGCATCAGGGGCGATAACTCTCAGATCAAGTCTCCTCCTTGATAGCAGACTTCAAATCGTGGTGAGTAAATACACCTTCACTGGATAAACATTTGTGTACATTTCATGTAAAGACATATTTCCGCCTACATTGTTCTGTTTGTTTTGCTATTAATTCTTTTCACTGGTTTGTACAGTTCCAGGTATTGGCTTACGATGACAAGCATCCCCAGAGAAAGACGACAGCTGATGTAACGGTCAATGTTTTGAGGAACCCAAGTGGACCTCGCTTCCTGCAAGATCCTTATGAAGCGACTGTATCAGAGACGTACCCTCTTGGCGACAGCCTCATCAATGCCACCGCTGTGGACTCCGACGGGGTGAGCTATAAAAACATGATATAGAAATATTAAAATATAAAGGCTTCGATCCCTTTTCAGCTATATCCATGAAAAAAATATTTATACCATACGTATTGTGATTTTGCAGGATGTACTCCGATACTCTCTCATGTCCTTATCAATTGACGAGAATCTCTTCTACATCAACCCTGACAATGGCCTCATCTCTCTCAGGAAGCTCCTCTCGGCTTCCACAGCCACAAGATACTCGGTGAGTTCTGCCTGCATCAATACCCAGCACAATCTATTCCTGCCATACCATTACCAGTAGGTAAATATCGTACCCCCCATACTCACACAGATATTGTACGTTTCAGCTGACAGTCAAAGCAACAGATCAGAGAATTCCTGAACAAACTGCTACTGCCCTAGTACTGATTTCCGTGACACGGGACAACAGTGCACCATTCTTTGTGGGAGGACCCTATGCTATCAGCGTTCCTGAAACCCGGGAGATCAATTCCACCATTGTTGCGGTCAGTGCTCGGGACAGTGACATGAAAGGGTCTATACAGTACGAAGCCATAGGCGTTTACCCAGCAACATCCTTCTTCAATGTTGAGGCGACCAGCGGCAACATCAGGATCATCCGTAGTCTGTTGACAGATGGCCTTCTGTTCACGTCATACACTGTAAGTAGTTACCCCGCTAGTCACTCTTCTGGCCATCTTATTCGGCTGCTTACACACTATATTGACAACAAAATCTTTCTTCTAATTAACAATTGGGCTTTGCTATTTCAGCTGAGAGTGGTCGCCTTTGACACTGCGTATCCCACAGCCAGAGCCACCAGTGATGTAACCATCGTTGTTATTCGTAATGAAAACGGCCCCAGCTTCCTCCCATCCGCAACATATGAAACACAGGTGTCCGAAGATGTCGTGATTGGTACCAGCATCCTCCAAATCACTGCAGTGGACCAAGATGCAGGGGTAAGTCTATGGGTATTTCCTCACAGTAGGCAGTTAGTGGTATGTATGTATAGAGACCTAAAACTGTATTTCATAGACTGACTGTATTTACTTCTGTTAACATGTGATCTATGTTGGTGTTTCAGGACGTCGTGACGTACCAGCTTGTAAACGCCACATCGAGTGGAACACAATACTTCTTCCTTGACCGAGATGCTGGGATCATAAGCACCAAAAAAGCGCTCAGTGGAGCTCCTGAAGACCTGTACACAGTAAGTACTAGATCATCACTTACGTTCCGTATTGACTACTCGAAATTCCTGTCCTTTGATAGTAAATACTATACTTGGATATGTATAACACGCCAACTTTATCTCGCCAACAGATCAATCTCAAGGCAGAGGACAACCGAGGCCGATTTGCACAAGCATCAGTTCGGATTATAATAGTTCGTGTGACCGACAACCCACCTGTGTTCCTTGACGCACAATACAGAGCAACCGTTGACGTCAATAGGCCCCTCAACTCATCGGTCATCAATGTCCGGGCAGTTGATCCAGACTTGGGCGTAAGTAGATCACCTCCCCTATTAAGCTTCAAGATCACTTCTCCAGTGTTTGTTGTTGCTAAAACTGAAAGGTTAACGTTATTGCAGTTTCCACTTTTAACCTTTGACTATTTCTGTTTTTTTCAGAATGAGATCCGGTATGATTTGGTGGGTTACTTCCCTGGAACCGAGTATTTCACCTTGAACCCGAGTAACGGGCAGATAACTCTGAAGAACAACTTTGGGGCTGATACATATAAGACGCTTCTTTACGTGGTGAGTGTTTGTAGTGAACAGCTACAAAGGGTGGTTTTATGCCCATCCTTAAGAATGTAATTACTTGTATTAGAATTTTAATATTCATGTGTAATATGAAAATGTTTTTTTACATACACATGCATTTGTATCTAACTGGGACGCTACTTTACAGTTGCGAGTCGAGGCATATGAGACTTTGCGTCCTGAAATCCGTGTTGCCGTAGACGTATTGATCGACATCAACCGCAACCCCAACGCCCCCGTCTTCAGCAAAGGCGTTTACGTGGTGACCATCCCCGAGTCCACAGTCCAGGGAGCCAGTGTCCTGCAGATCACTGCTACTGATGCTGACGGGGTAAGTTCCAAGCAATACCACCTCTCTTAATTCATCCTTAGTAGTACCTATGGAATAACCTGATGTAACACCAATAGTGTATTACATAAGTAATCCCCTTCTTTTCCCAGGACATCCCAATGTACCAGTTTAACCAGTTAGACGTTAACGGTCGAGATGCAGCTGAATTCTTCTTCTTGAGTGCTTCAACAGGCGTCGTCAGTGTCCGGAAACCTCTTAAAGAGGGCACCTCCCGACAATACACAGTAAGTGTCTACTACTGGTATGTTTGTCAGAACACTTGTGGGTGGAATTACTGAATATCACTCTTTCGTGTGTATGAGTAAATGAAAGATACATACTATTTGAAGTGTAAAACTCTCATATGATGTACTTTACAGTTCACTGTGCAAGTCCGCGACCAGGCGTTCCCTGAACTCTTCAGCACTACCACCGTCCAGATCACCATAGACAGAGATCAGTTCCCGCCTGTCTTTACTCAGATGACCTACGTTACAGCTATCACTGAGACTACTGAAGTGAACACCTCACAGCCTATTGTTGTGGTGCAGGCTGCTGACAAGGACAGAAGGGTAAGTGGGATGTTGTATAGATCTACGTCAGTATACAATAATAGCGATATCATACCGGTAATAGAACTGATACGTGTACGATTTATGAACTAAACCTGACTGTTTTATTACAGGAAGATATTGTGTATGAAGCGATTGGCGATGGCTCAGCTCTGGCTTTCTTCAGGATCGACTCAACTTCTGGAGCAGTATACGTCAAGACTCCTCTGATCCAGGATAGTCTTGTTCTATATACAGTAAGTTAATTTGCTCGAACAGAAATGCAACAACATATAAATAACTTCAACACATCACTAAACTGTAACTAGATGTGACCATTTGATTTAAGACTACATCATCATTTTATTATTTCAGCTTCGCGTACAAGCCTACGACACGTTCTATCCAACCAACATCGGCTACAGCACCGTCACCATCAGTGTAATCCGTAACCCCAGCGGACCCGTCTTCACCGCTAACGAGCATGCCAAGTCAGTTCTGGAGTTTACCACTGTAGGGTCCCGGATCATCACCGTCACTGCAACTGATGCTGATGGGGTAAGACGTTGTTACCGTTGATACAACAAACGGTAATAATTATATCGTTTTTGTATTTCAGATGTAGTACACGTACATGATTTGAAACGTAATGTGAATATTTTTGTTGTAAACGAAGCAAGTTGCTAATTTGACGATTCCTGTTTTAGGATGTCCCAGTCTATTCGCTTGTGGGAGGTATGGAGGCACTGGAGTATTTCTACATTTCCCCCAGCTCAGGGGACATCTTCCTGAAGAAACGCCTCTATGAGAGTCCAACACAACAGTACCAGGTACGTACCGTGTTTCACGAAGGTCAAGGTCACGCTTATATACTAAGACGTCTTTGATGTCACTTGGAATATATGTTCAACAAGATAAATTTCCTCCCGCTCTTAAACATAATGACCATTCGGTAAAATGTGACATCTTTTCCATTACAGATGTTCGTACAAGCCTCCGATCAGCGCAATCCGGTCAGACTGACCAATACAACAGTGTTTGTAACTGTTGCGAGAAGCCAGCCTCCGCGCTTTGTCCAAGGGCCATACTCATTCAGTGTTTCAGAAAAGACACAGATTGGCACGTCAGTCTACGGTGTCAGTGCCATTGACTCTGACAAACAGGTACACGTTGCTTCTTTCATAGCGGTAAATGGATTTCATGGACTCGTAGGTCCAACAATTTACGCCTGTAACTCCCCAGGAACCGAATGTTAACAAGCACTATCAATTTCAGGGCACCATCACGTATGAAATTGTCGGTGACGCCCCAGCCCCCAGCTACTTCGCCGTCAACTCCACCACGGGGGTGGTGACAGTCCGTTCCAACCTGCTGCTAGATAGCAACCAGAACTATATCCTCCGTGTCAAGGCACACGACTCTGCGTTCATGTCTCAAACAGCGACAGCCACCATCAGCATCTTCATCGCAAGGAACGACAACCCACCTATCTTCATCAGAGAACCATATACCATCGAGCTGCCAGAAGAGTTTGCTTTAGGACAACGAGTCATCAACATAACTGCGGAGGATGCAGATAACGTAAGTATATATAGTTGATACCATCCATAAACAGATGGTTCCAGACATCCGCTTGTTTTCACTAAAGAATGTTTAGTGCTATATTTTAATCGCTTGTTGTTTGCTTTTTAGGACAACATCCGTTACAGCATGTTAAGCTCCAGCCTCGCCGACTACTTCTACCTCAACCCAGACACCGGAGTCATCTTCCTGACCAAGAGTCTTGAATCAACAGTCCAGAACAGCTTTTTGGTAGGCACTGATTCTAGTGAAGGACATAATACATCCGCTGTAAACTTCTATAGAAATAGATGATATTTGTGGGTTATAATGCTCTAATCACACGTTTCATTTTAGTTGTCGGTTCGTGCAAGTGACAGCCGCATTCCTCAACGTAGCAACGACGCAACTGTGACCATCACTGTCAGAAGAAACAAGTTCTTGCCTCAGTTCGTTGGCCTTCCCTACACAGTGACCATTGGCGAAACACGCCCTGTAAACGACACCATTCTCTCCGTCGCGGCAGTCGACAACGACCAAAGGGTACGTTGTCAAGGTTCACATACACAATAAAGTCAGCAACATATTTACATATTTACTGTTGCAGAGATTTAGTATTTGTTTTCGTTAAATGTATTTGTTGTGTTTTAGGGTACCCTGGTATACGAAGCTGTGGGATTCTATCCAGCACAGAGCTTCTTTGGAATCAATAACGTCACTGGTCATATCACTGTGATACAGTCGTTGAAGAATGACGGTCTGGCTCGCACTGAATACACAGTAAGTACTGATAGTACTCATTAAGTCAACCAAATTGATGAATCTAAGTCAACCAAATTGATGGCTCTGTTTGAATCTTCTTCCCAAAACAACGGACCGATTCATATGAAAGAATAGTCTCACATGTTGTTTTTACAATTTTCAGCTCCGTGTGGTTGTCTACGATACCCAGGTTCCCGCTCAAAGACTCTCCGCTGATGTCTTGGTGTCTGTCGGGCGCAATCTGAACGCACCAACACTAACTCAGACCCGATATTCACAGGCTGTTGACGAGGATTACCCTCTCGGTGTCCCGGTTCTGAACGTGACAGCTTCGGATCTTGATGGGGTGAGTATCTCGAAACATCCTGTAAAAACAACAAAGCATTAACAAACAGGAATTCCTCCAACCATATATTATATCCTTCAAATGTTTAATGACACTGTTCTCGGTGTTTTCAGGACACAATTTCGTATGACATCGTCGCCGATAACAGCGGTGGATCTGCACTTTCGTTTTTCTTCATTGAGCGACCAACCGGAGCTATTTACCTTAGACAACCACTCTCTGCATCAAGCGCTAATACGTTTGCGGTAAGTAATCTTGTTAAATGTTTTAGTAGAAAGGAGTCGTAATATTGTTCTCACATAAAAAGGCCGACGTTTTACATTAATGAAGTTTCCTCATGGTTTGAGTTTTTCTTTACCAGAACTTCTTTCTAGTAACAGATGCACGCAATATGCACTGAAAATGGTCAAAAGGAAGAAAAAGGAAGAAACACTTTGCACTTAATTGGGTTTCTTCGTGAAAATAAAAATGAGTCATTCAAACACATTTTTTCCCCAAATGTATAAAATATTGCTAATAATATTCAGTATATATTCAATCTGAAGTAAGCAATGTCTTCAATGTAAGCACAGTGTTTATCCTTGCCACATCTACCTTGCAGATGACAGTCCGTGCCACTGACAGCGGTCGGCCACCTCGCGAGTCGCGGGCGGAGGTTGTCGTGTATGTACGGAGGGATGAGTTTGCCCCACGGTTCGAGAATTCCCCACTCGTTGTGGTGATCCCCGAGACCACAGCCAACGCCTCGACTATATTCACCGTCACCGCCACCGATCAAGACCAGCAGGTAGGAATCTGGACCACATGATCAGGATTTCTGTTTGCGACTTCATCAAGTGTCAGATGTGAAACAAGTTAGAGTCTTCATCTCTTCAGCTGTAATGGAACTCTCGTTCTTGGTTAAACTGAACAGTGTTTTTCTTCTTGCTAATCCATATACCCAATTCTCTTTTAGGGTTCAATCCAGTACAGCGTGATGGGAGTTCCGCCAGCACCAACCTTCTTCATGGTTACCTCTGGTGGCAACATTGTTGTCAGAGGTGACCTCAGGAATGACCGCGCCATGAACTATGTTGTAAGTGTATGGTATAAAAACAAATATATATAGTTTTAAGTCGTGTTTAGTAGAATATGCCGGCGGGGAATACCAGAAATGTGCTTCAAATATTGTACCCGAGATGAGCGAATGCTTTAACCAGTAAGTTACCTCACCACTCTGTAAGGAATGTGTATCACCTCTCACTATGTTCCTTTATGCATTTACAGCAGTATTAACTAATCGTTATTCTTGATATTCAATTGGAATTATTCATTCGCAGCTGCGTATCCGAGCTGTAGACAGCGCTAATCTTAACGTGTACACCGAAGAGGACGTGAAAATCTCCATCTTGCGGAACGTCAACCATCCTGACTTCCAACAACAATCCTACTCCACACGCATATCGGAGACGACGCGCATAGGAACATCGCTGTTGACTGTCGTCGCTAACGACGCTGACAATGTAAGTAATATTTGGTTACGAAACAACCTAGCGTCAGTTCATGGACTGTTACTTGCATTATATAAAAAACGCCCGATAATTGAAACCTTTTCGTACAAATGCCACACATAAAGAATCAGGCTTAATCAGACCTCTTTGTGTTTTCAGGATCGCCTTACATATGATATACGCGGCGACGAGCGATGCGTCACCATGTTTTATGTCGGTGCGGATAATGGCTTCATATACCTCCGGCAGTCGGTTATGGATACGGCAGATAGCTCATTTACAGTAAGTCTCCTATAACATGTACAGAATGACCACTTAAAAATCGTTGAGATTCCATAAGCTAACTCACTGCATCCTGCTTGGAAATATCTCTAATTCAACTCGTTTACTATTTCAGTGTACCGTATCAGTGTCTGACAATGGCTACCCAACTGCAAACACTGCGACAACAACAGTCTTCATCGGCATCGACCGCGACACTGTCGTACCCGTCTTCTCATCCAATGGTAGATACGCTGTCAACATCAACGAAAACATCGCTGTTGGCAGTTTCATCAGCTCCGTGCAAGCAACAAGACAGAACCTGGCTGTATGTGTTTCGTGAACAATATGTCTGAAATATTTCCGAAAATGTCTGTGAAATATTTAACAGGATTTGATTGCTTTTCAAACCTTATAAATATGTTTTTTACTTTTTTTTTCTAAGAATTATTTGTATTGTTTCCAGGGTCGCATGTATTACGAAATTATCGGCAACTATCCTGCACCAAGTTTCTTCAAGGTTCACAATATGACTGGTGAAATAACAGTTGAGGAAAACCTCCGCAATGACAATCTTCGACTTGGGTCCTACACGGTACGTATTGACCTCGAATAGACTGAATCACTTACTACAGTTGTTTCAAGCTCATATACTGTACATGACTCAAACTTCACGCAGTGTTCACTCAGACACCATATGTTCATTCATTGTAGCTTCGTGTCCGTACCTATGACACGAGCGTGCCACACCTTGCTGCCATTGCCGAAGTGTACATAACGGTACTCCGGAATCTGAACGGTCCAGTATTCAGTCCCTCTACGTACAGAGTGACGCTCAGGGAAGACGTGGACGTGGGAACCTATATCCAGAAACTCAACGTATCAGACCCCGATGGCGTAAGTTGACTTTTCAATAACATAGTCGAGGTCATATAACGGTACATACAACACTGTTTAATGAGTATTCTGTTTGATGATGTATAATCAACACCATTTCTTCCTCCAGGTTCAACTCAGTTGCTCAGTGGACGCACAAGCCTACTTTGCCATCGACGCAAGCACTTGCTTACTCCGAGTTTCCAAAGCTCTTACAGATGATACCAGCAAGGCAACCGAATACACTGTAAGTACAGTACGAGCATTGAAATAAACACTATACGTACTGGGCTCTTTTTCTGATTTTCTTCTTTCAAATAGAAGTCCAAGTGTTTATGTTTTATAATAATTATTGCTTTTATTTTGTTATAAGATCTTCGTGACTGCGACTGAGATGACCAGCAGCAACCGTCAGTTCGCCACGGCCAGCGTCCAAGTGACCGTCCTCCGTGACCTGTACTCCCCTCAGTTCAACAACCTCCCCGCCACCATAGACGTGAACGAGGACCTCCCAGTCGACAGAGCCATCTTCACTGCAGATGCATACGACGCGGACATCCAAGGAACAATAAAGTATGAGCTGACAGGGGTCTTCCCAGCAAAGAGCTTCTTCGAGATCGACCCTTCTTCTGGTGCCATCGTCCTCATGAACAGCCTCCTCTCAGACACGCTTGGCCGCACGTCGTACACGGTGGGTCCAAGTCCGGTATACTCTATACACAGCAAGGAAATACTGAACACTTCGTATTGAACTATGTGGCAAACATAATGCCGTTCAAAGTTATATTTACTTATTTATTTCTATTACTTAGGCTCGGGTACAGATTTACGACACCGCACGACCTGACAACCGCACACAGGCAGATCTCGTCATCCGGGTAGTGAGAAACTCCAATGGTCCCATCTTCTCTTCTGCGAGTTACGAAGCTTCTGTGGAAGAGAACTTCCCCCTGTATCAGTCCCTGGTTCAGGTCGTCGCTAGTGATGCTGACGGGGTGAGTCCTTATACGATGTCATGGTGTTCCTGTGTTGAATGTGCATGAATATTCCTCTGTGATTACTACAGACGATATGTCTACCAAACGTTATATGCCGATCAAATACTTACTATTCACCTAGAAATACATTACAGACAAAGGTACTTATGCATATGTTTATGATTAATGATTTCCAGGACAAGCTCACATACACCCATCTAGGCACTGCCGAGGAACAGAAACTATTCTATCTGAATCCAGACAGTGGAGTTATCTCCCTTGGTTCATCTCTGCAGGACACGTCCAAGAATCAGTTTGTGGTACGTGATCACCTCAATTATCAGCTCATACAAAACCTTCAAATAATATATAATATAGTTATATGATGAAATTCAACAAGATAATAGCTTAAGAATGATCAGTCTAATACATTCTCTCATCTTAGTTCCATTATGACCAGTGTGACAAATGAAGCTAATTACACATAGCATCATCTTCATCCAATATTTTAATGACGTTTCCAGTTCGAAGTAGAGGCTTCAGACAATCGCGTCTCCAGTATAGCCAAAACAAATCGTGTGACCGTGGTTATAACTGTACAACGAGACAATGGTCCCCCACGGTTCCTGAACGCTCCGTACGTCTTGGATGTCCCCATCCGACAGCCAGTCAACTCCACCGTGGTGATCGTCATCGCCCGTGACCCCGACAACAAGGGAATGATGAGGTACCGACTGGACGGCATCGCCCCCGGCACCGACTACTTCTCCATCAGCGACATCACTGGCAACATCATAGTGAAGCAGGAGTTGACTCTCAACACCGATGTCTATGCTAAATATACGGTAAGTTGCGAAATAACAGATCTTCCCAAAAGACATATCAGGCATTTTGTGAAGTTGACTTTTTATCTGGCTTATAATAAATGTCATATTTCATTGTAAATGAATGTTTAATTTTTGACACTAATATAATAAAAATAGTTCACACTAATATAATAAAAATAGTTCACAAAACTGTTTTTCGTTTTTTCACAGCTTTTGGTATCTGCTTATGACACCAGCAGTCCAGAGATCGTCATAACAGAGCCAGTTCAGATTAGAGTGTTGAGGAACCTGTATTCCCCAGTTTTTGTGACGAAGTCGTACATGCAAACCATCTACGACTTCATCCCTGTAGGATCAAGCGTGCTACAAGTCACTGCCACGGATGATGATATTACCGTAAGTAAACCTTTGAAAACATGTCACCTACAGATCTAAATGTTTATAACAATATAACAATAAAAACCCTCAATGTAATCCCCACATGACATTCACACATCCGTTACGCTATGGAGGATGTAATCCAACATAACTAAGGTGTGACTTTGATTTATTGTGTTTTTATTCAGGCTCCGGAAAACACCTTCACATACGACATAGACAATACTTCGCCAGCCAACGAGTTCTTCTCAGTGGATCCCTTCAGTGGCATTATTAGAACCACAAAGGATCTGTCAGAGAGCACCGCTTCCTCCTACGTGGTGAGTAGAATTCTGTCCAGATAAATACTGAACAATATACCAGCCACAAGAATGCTATTAAAACATTTTCGGTGCAAATGTTTTAATCATCAGTCTCACGTTATTCTTATCGAATCCCCATACTACAATGATTGTATCAACCGAATACCTGCTGACACGTGTTTTCTTTACAGTTTAATATAATTTCCCGTGATCTGGGCGCCAGTAGTCGATCTGACACCGCTACTGCTACAGTTGTGATCCAGCGAAACAGTGGACGGCCAGTGTTCATCAACCCTGATCAGTATGACGTCACCGTGTCCGAGACCATGTCCGTGTTGTCCCCTATCCTACACGTGCAAGCAGTGGACACCGACTCTGTGGACACGCCCAATGGTCAGATCGTCTACACACTCACTGGTCCAGCAGAGGCGCAACGGTTGTTTGAGGTTCATATGATGACTGGAAATATCACGGCCAGAGTCTCCCTCACAACCGCTGCTAATGACACCTACGAGGTAAGAAAATATATCATTAATGAAATATATGGACCGCAACAAATAAAATATGTCAAATACCATTATTTATAAAATACATGTATGGATAATAATTTTCAAAATGATCAAAAGTAATATTTATATTTGACGCTATATATTTTAAGTTAAAGTTCTGATGTTTTTCCCATGACAGCTCACTATTCGTGCCAGCGACCGAGGCACACCAACTCAGAGCTCTGAAGTAACAGTGGTCATCCGAATTCGTCGCGAAGGAACCCCGTTCTTCCAGGAACCAGAATACATCGTCAGTCTGACTGAAAACACAGCAATAGACACTGTAGTGATTGACCTGAATGCCACAGACCCACTTGATGTAAGTTGTTAACGCTCCAACATCAACATGAAACAGACGTAATTGAATACAGAACTTCTGTGTGTAAACAACCTTTCGTCAACTATCAGATGCGATAACATGCGGTGCCATTCATATTGATATTGTCTGTTTCAGAATAAGCTGATCTATGAGATCAATGGTGACGGAATGGCCTCTACATTGTTCCGCGTCAGTCCAGATACGGGTCTAGTGAGCGTGGCCCAACCCTTCAAAACAGACACTCAGGAGTCCTATGTTATCCGTATACGTGCCTACAGACAGACGGACGCAGCAGTGTTCGCCACAGTGATTGTCAGAGTGGTCATTACCAGGAACGCCAATGCTCCAAGCTTCTTGCATAATGACCTGGTGTTTAACTTGGCGGAGAATTACCCTCTGGGCGTTTCACTTGGTCAGCTCAATGCTACAGATAAGGACATCGTGAGTACAAGGCTACACATCCTCTCTCTGCTGTATCTGTTTGATATGAAAAGGATCAGTACTTTAAATTTGATTTTTGAAAATTTGAATTATTACCATTGAATTTTTTAAAGAATTTTCAAATTTAATAATTTATATTCCAAATTAATCTTAATGTAGTTATTTCATCATTTGTTTCAGGGGAATAATGGTAGAATAACGTACACCATCGACGCCCAGAACTCCATACCCCTGTACGTGCGCGACTTCTTCTACGTCAGCCCTACAACAGGTACCCTGTCGGTAACCAAGAGCCTCCAAGAAGACGCCAACCAACCCCTGAGTTATGTCCTCAATATCCTAGCAACAGACAATGGGTACCCTACTAAATTCTCAGCACTTCAAGTGACTGTCAACGTTGTTAGAAACCGCAACGGTCCTGCTTTCTCCAGTGACGTGTATGAGACTGATATCGATGAGGATGTTTCTGTTGGAACCAGCCTCCTGCAAGTACAGGCTGCAGATGCTGATGGTGTAAGTGGGATCATTCATCATCGCCAGATACATTCTTAACTCAATTTCATCATCGTTTGAAGAAAGTCAGCCGGCTTTTCAAACCATACTAATCAAATTTAAAACATTCATTTATCTGTTTGTGGTATAAGCTGAGGCACTTAGTAAATGTCACCTGAATAATGCTTAAAAGGATTTAAATGGAAAACGTGGATCATTATCAGTTTCAATTTTAATGTGTTTGTCAGGGTTCGTTTTATAGGTATTGCTGACAAATAATGTGGTAATGTTTCAATTACAGGGCCGAGTCACCTACACTCTCCTGTCAACTATACCCACATCTCTGTACTTTAACGTGGACGAGAACACCGGCGTGCTGAGTATGGCGGCGTCTCTGCTGATGGACAACGCAGCTGTATACACTGTAAGGATCACCTGTCTGAACATAAAACACAACTAAAACACCGTTATCCATATAGTTAGCTCGATGTGTGACCGCTACATACTAGACAGAGACATTTATGTTTGTGGACTGCCAACCACATTAAGTTCCAGTCAATGCTACAAGGTAGAATGTCATGGCATGTCTAACAGATGGAAAATGTTGGCCTTTATAAAAATGGGAAATAAACACAATCTGTTTTCCAGATGACCGTGAGAGCCCGGGACTACCCAGGTGAAGGTGCCCTGTACCGCAGCAGTGAGGCTACCCTGGTTGTCACCGTGCGACGTAACCCCAACACCCCGGTGTTTGTACAGTCGGCGTACAACATCACCATCTCCGAGTACACGGCTGTTCAGGACGTCGTAGCAACCATCAGGGCCACAGATGCAGACCCTAGTGACGTGAGTTGCCTTCATACTTTAATGATTGGTATCCTATTAAAAAATTGTAAATTGTGATACTTTCTTGACCCTTTCTACTCCTTTCAAATTAATAAAATTACATGAATAATAATAATTATTAATAGATGTAATTACGATGATTATGATGATTGTAACAAGTATACAATCATAATGATATAAATAATGTTGTCTTCTAGACGCCAAGCGGCCAGCTAGTGTACCGCATCACCAGCGTGACGTTCCCCGGCTTCCAGAGCTCCACCCTCCGAAATAACTACGACTTCTTCATCATCAGTCCGACATCAGCAGACATATATCTGGCCCAGACTCTCAGCAAACATGGTGTCCCAGATACGTTTTATGTAAGTGGCACTCTAACGTCGGAATAACTAACAGCAAATTACAATCATGAAAGATTACAGGAAACCAAAATACATCTGGAATATCAGATACGACTTTAAAGGGTCTACAGAACATATAGAACGCGCCATCTCTTGTCTCCAGATTACTATTGAAGCTGCTGACCGCGCCCTGCCTCCCAAGATCGCCACTGCTCAGCTGGAGATTCACATTGTCCGCAACATACACACCCCACGCTTCACTTCCACAAGCTATGGGGCAACTATTGAGGACACTGCGGCTGTTGGGAGAACGCTGTTCACTGTCACCGCTCTTGATGCTGATGAGGATGTACCTCTGAATCAAAATGTAAGTTCATTTTATTTTTATTGAAACATTAACAATTTATTTTGGAAAATCATTGCGTTAAGCAATACATGTCATATCCCAGTAACCATTGAGTAGAGACGGCGGTTGGGTAGCCTGATGGTGAAGCGTCCGCTCGTTATGCTGAAGATCCGGGTTCGACCCCCCACATGGATACCAGGTGTGAAGCCCATTTCTGGTGTATCCCGCCTAAATGGCCTTGATATTTCTGGAATATTGCTAAAAGCGGCGTAAAACCACACTGACTGACCCACCATGGAGTGGACTGTTTCTTAAAGTTGTATGTCATGTCAATAAATTGAGCTCAAACATGAAATGTATCTTTAACTATTTCAGACCCCCAACGCAGAGTTCAATTATATTGTTGATCCCAAATACAAAGACGCAGTGTGGTACTTCGACGTCAGTTCCGATGGCATCGTGAGCATCAGGAACCCGCTCGTATCAACTGATACTCCGTCATTCTTCGTAAGTATATGGCCCTGACCGAAGGTATTTAAACCTGTCATAATCTTAAGTTTGCAGTTGTTGGGAAATCGAGGTCTTCGTTAAAAAGATATCATTTGATTTGTGTTTCATGAAGGCATTGAATATGTGTTTTGTCTTTTCAGTTCAATATTATTGCTATTGACAAGAGCTGGACACCGTTAAGCAGCCGAGTTCCAGTTCGCATCAACGTGACCCGCACCAGTACAGGGCCCAGGATCCTCGGCTTCACAGCGCCTATTTATTAGTGAGTCTCTTCAACGGTCTCCATCGCCTTCACTATTCAATTGACGTCGTAAAGCTCAACTTCCGGACTTTATTGTCCCCGTGTCAATATACTCAAAATGTAAATGCTTCCTTTTCAAATGATGCCATTCAAATATTCATTTAACTTTTACTGGGCGATTCGTTGAAGTGGAATGAGTTATCAAAGAGCACAGAGAATAACGTGGTGGCTTAATGGTTAATAACTTCCGTGTTATCTCTTTCAGCGTTGTGCTACCGGAGAACTCGGTCGGGGACGGCAACCGCTTTAAATCATTGATAGTCCTGGACACGGAGAATCAAGACATTGATCTCAATGTGGAGTGCCGAATCATCTACATTAACGGGGAAGCTGATTTGGTCGGGAGTAAGTGTGAACATAAATTCAGTAACACCAATCTCAAAAGCTAATCGAATTGAAAAATAAAAACATTGTGATTTGGATTGATCAGTGTAAATCATTTTTAATTTACTGTTAATTTTTATGATGTATTAATTAACATGTTCTCATTGTAGCTATATTCAGTGTTCGGACAACCCGAGACGGCAAGAACTGCGAGCTGTATATGATCGGGAACTTGGACAGAGAGCAAGGAAGCCTGTATAACATCACTGTTGGAGTCCATCACCAGACTACTGTCAGCAAGCGATCTATCAACAATGCAGGTACGTCAGCAGATTGTCTCATTTCTCTTACAGGACCATGTTCTCCCACAATCATCTAAATATAATAATTCAGTTACCACAACTCAATTTATCAGTTTCCCAGGGCCGACGATTAATTGCTATTTGTTATGGGTTGCAGTATACAACACGTGGGAATACACCAACATATTGGTGTCGGTGACTGACGTCAACGACAACGCCCCCTCGTTCAACTTCCCCGTGTATCCTGTCGTTAACCTGCAGGCATATGTGACGGCTATAAGCATAGCAGCGCCCCCTAACAGCAAGGTCACTCAAGTGCAGGTAAGTTCACACACAACTATGTGTAGGACATTGAAACCGGTATTCCGGAAAACCCTTTACACCACGGCTTCTGGACATTCCAGTTAGAGATAAGAAAAGTAATTTTCATAAAATAATACTTTCTTCAAATGTGGAATGTGTTGGTTTAAAATAATATTTTAATCAAATGTGTTTTCTAAAGTGTATGTATCTATGATATTTTTTTTATATGAGTAGCCTCCAATTTGTTTTTCTATGTTTAAGATGTTTGTAATAAATAACATTGACGAGGTATTCAAAAGTGTAACGCGCACCTTTCTCCGCCAGGCGACTGACCCAGACTTAGGCCTGAACGGGATAGTGTCCTACTCCGTCAGCCCCATCCCAGGGCTGTTTGATGAGGTGCCTTTCTACATCAACTTTGACGGGGAAATCTACACCACAAAGGACTTCTCCCACGAGGAAGCCTTCCCGCGCCAGTTTGTGTTCAAGGTCACAGCTAGCGATAACGCAATGACGTCAGAACGGCTACAAGCGGAATCAAATGTTTACGTAAGTAAACACTTAAGACAATCAATGCAGCGTTTGATAGTGTTGTTGTCTTGACAACCATCACCATATCCGTATTGTACGCGGGTGCATGTCTTAATGAAATAATGCTTAATGAAATAATGCTATCTGTTACAGGTGAACCTAATTGAAAACAAGAACCGGTTTATTCTTGTTCTGACGAATACCCCTCCGGAAAACGTTATACCAAAGATGGAGTTCTACAGACAAGCACTACAGAATGTCACTGGACGTATCATTATCATCGAGAAAATCCAAGGCCGACTGTTTACTGAAGTAGGATCCAGCGTGTTGGACCTTGACATCACTGGGTAAGATGGCATTCTCCTCTCCTGTCCTGTTAGCCTTCTCTATAGGAGAAGATCAATGTAACTTGCTTATCATTGACCAAATCAACGTGCACTTTGACGTACATGTATTTGTTCAAATATGCGACAGTATCTAATGAAGTCACTGTTTTTTTCAGAACGGATATCACCTTCGTCGTGGTGAACAGCGACAGCTTCCGACTTGAAGAAAACACTGCTATGGACATGTGAGTATATATATATCTTGGTGATTTGGAAACACATGTTTATGTCAAGCCGTACTGTTGGCTCGGCTGTAAACAAAGATTGATACGACTTATATCAAAGGTTTTAATGATTTTACTCGGTATTATATACGAGTACAAATTTCCTTTGAATATGTAACCATTTGTACCCCTTAACACAAAACTTTAATCAACACTGAATGAATATTTACCTAAGGAGAACTGACAATTATTATAAACAAAATAAAGGGGAAATGTACGTTGGGAATACATGTTTACGCTTAACGAACAATTGACAACATTCTTGTTTATTTACAGTGTAACCACAGAAAGCGACCAATCAAAGGCGATCTTGGCCCGTGTGAAACAATCGGCACTACAGATAGGCAGTTTCGTCTCCATGATTCGTAAGCCATACCAAGCGAACGCGATGTCCCGAAGTTCGGCATTTCTAGGCGGTGGCGTGATACAGGTCACTAAGTCTTATGTGTGGTGGCTGAACAACCCCTGGGCAGCCTTCGTGGCTCTCGGCGCCATCATCATCGTCCTCAGCCTTGTTGGAATCATCGTTCTTCTTTATCTTTGGTCAAGGTTGGTACAAAACACAATATAAAATACGCTAATATTGGCTAACAATGTGATCGAACCAAAATAACGGCGATTTATCATTGTAAACAAGCGAATCGCTGAAAATATTCTGATGTTTTCACTAACTCTTTTTGACTCTGAAAGCATTAATATCATGTATATTTGAAAAAACATCTTATAAGAACACGTTATATTTTCAGGTATACTCACTATCTGCATCAGTTCAGGATTTACCATTCAAACTTCACCAATCCTGACTTCACCGAACCACCCAGTTTCCTCAGAGAATATGAAACTCAGGTAAATACATAGTCTGCCAGTTCCCATATCATCTTCTACCTACTACCTACACCTACAGCAAATATCTACGATTCATACACACGTTCTCATTTCACAGTCGGAATCCTTTAATCGGCTGAGCTGCTTGCAGTTATTTCTTATGACTATGGAAAGGTGGAACCAAATTTACAAACTAATTTTGTGTAACACTGACGGTGTTTCAGTAAATTTGTTTGAAAGATTCATTACTGTGAAGTGTTCCCATGAATATGTGCTGATGATAATCTATTCTCCCCTCAGAGTCTCAACATGTACGTCCCCCCTGACGAGACGGTGCAGGCGCTTGGGGAGATAAACATGAACTTTGATTTAGACACGCCCCGTCCCCCTGGCACTCATGGAAGAGGTTCCACACGCAATCCCATCTACCAAAGGTGAGAGACCTGAATGGTTGCCATTGGAGCTCATTAATTCGATTTCCTTAAGCTGTGAACTAAAAGTGTTTGTGTTCATTTATTGAAAAAAGGTCTTTGGTTATAAAAAAAACTTCATTCATGTATAACAAAATCCTTTCTGGTTTATTTTCCAGTCCCCGCGAGCAGCACACTGGCTACGTAGAAGGAACGACCATTTTGTAACTGAAGACTGACGTAATCAACTTGATGGGCGATGATGATTGTCCGTACTGAGGACAACCCACACAATTAGTCCCCCAATAAAACATGTGTTGTATATTTTGATCATAAAACATTGGTGTTTTAAACACTACAATCGCAATCAGATGTACTGATGTAAAATCATATTTGTAAGTATGTGCAAATGTAAATATGTATATGAAACACTCCAAGTGATATCCATATGTATATAGTGACACATTGTCTCGAGAGTTATATTTTGTCATTGCCAAATGAAATCCTTTTGTATATTTATACACTTTTTTATACACTGCTATTTAATAAAAAACTATCATTAATATACATATATGCGTTGTGTTGAAATTGATGCAGATGTAACACTTAATTACACTCAGGCGACTGAGCTCGATCTTGGCGTCATACCACACTGTCACACTAAGAGTAACCTGTGTTACTATGTATGTATTAAAGTCTGCAATTATAATGCTGTGACAATTTTACATTGTCGATTGGTGTCTTTCGACCAATACAGAATATTGGTGATCAAATCCAACCCGGAACCACACAGGGCTGATGTGTTTGGATCACGCCCTGACACACTCTAGATCTTGTATTATAATTACGAGTCATGGTGATTTTAAGTCATCCTTTTATATAACTTTCATATATCATAGTCAATGGATTCTATACTACCCATCAAAAGTTTAGACTCACTAGTGTAAATGTAGCCACTTACTTGTCCACTGCTCTAAACTAGCTTTTTGCAAAATATTCCATACTGTTTAAAGGTACTGTTTAGTTATAAACTGGTGTATTGTAAAACATATTCGTAACATTGAAAAGATTATTGTCATGAGTTCAGTAAATGATTAAAATCTGTGAAAATTGGCGAATTCTTAACAAAACTTTACACCAAAACGCATCTGTTTACACGCACGACATTTGCTCATGCCTTTCGCAATTTGAAGCATCATCCTTGTGCAATTCATCTGCATAAAGTTTTCAGTTGGTTCCCCCAAGTTGGTGGAGAAATTCATCTTCGATGTAACCACATACATATACATAACATATAGTGAGTGCTTTAAGTGAGTCTAAACTTTTGATGGGTAGTATATTTCTATACTCATTACTTTAATTTACAGAACACATAGGCAGTGCTTGGTGATTTTCTATACATATATATCAGTGGATATTTTTAAAGGTTGCATACATACACGATTCTGATTAACAGCTTACTGGAATTATGACTTAATGTTAGGACATATTAAAGCCAATGATGTTAAATCTGTTGATCGCTGTATTATTACGTCGTTCGTGTTTCACATGATAACATGACTCTTACACCTAACAAACAAGATTGGTTAGTGAGTATAACAGGAACGCTGTAGCGCTACCCGGTACTAGCCAGACAAACTAGTTGTGTCACTGATCGACATATTGCACTGGCTATTAGCATGCTCTGAACTCAATAATTCTTACCTCATTTACTGTCATCGATATTCCATGTAGGTTACATTTGTATCCATGTTGATTAAGATTGTTCTTTGCAATGGTATTTGGTTATTATAAGCCCTAGCGCATATTGATCAGGCAGAAATGCCAGTCTGAATATCTAAATAGTGATTCTGTTTATTAATAGAAAAATGCCTTTTAAACAACTTTTTACAAAAGTACTATAGAAGTTGAAGGCCTAGAATACTCCAGCCAGTCAGATTATAAGGTTGACATATTTTATGCTTGTCAATATCCCATCGCTTGTTATGCATTTAATTGTACTTTGAGTTTCACAAGAGTAATCATTCAGAAAAAGCACATGAGTGACATAATTCGATTGTTCCGCTAGCAGTTATACGGAAAAACAACAAACATGTCGATAGTTATACCGGATGTTAATGTCCCGTAGCTCCATGTGGAAATCAATGTGTTGGTATGATTCAACCAGGCTCTTTACGACGAACCACATATCCATCTTTGTCCTAATTAAATTTCAAAATAAATCATTAGCAATATATGTTTAGCAACTATCACAATCTTACCGACATGTTATGGAGCATATCTTGAAAACACTTTTCTCACGGTAGCATTCAAAACAAACGTTACATCTAAAGTCTACCCAATTGAAAAACGTGAGTCATGGTTTATATGTATTTCAATTTTTCTAACTTGAGTAAGTTGTTAATTCTGTAACAGGATTATGGACATTGGGAACATTCTTAAACATCTCCTTATAAATGTCTATGGATCGTGACCAATACCAACCAGACAATAAAATTAATTCTCCTTATATTTCAATATAGCCTTACAACAGCCCCCGGTGTTTCCTTCAGATACAAAAACTGTCTAAATTATTTTAGTAGTGGTGGTGAACTAAGATAAGACCTCAAGTAATAGCTGTAAGTAACACTTCAAAGCCTCGTGCATGTATACCCGTCTACCCTTGAAATCAAGGCCATTGTTTCAGCGATGTCCACAGGCAATGAGGGATTAACAGTCTTCAGTCTAAAGACGATAATTACAAATGTAGTAGGAAAAAACTCTAAGCTCGGGGCATAATAAGGGATTAAAACTGTGATTAGGCCTATTGTTTAAATTTCAGCCAATAGGAGCACAGGGAACGGATTATCAGCCAATCCTGTTTAAGCGCCGCCCACCTTTCATGGTAACAGTATATAGTGAGCGGGTTAGAAAGGTGTAGCCAGATCAACCCGTTTCGTTGGGCCCGTACCTACCTCTCACACTTACCACTTACCCGGAGAGGAACTTGACTTGGGAAATTGTTTTACACTGCTTCTTTTTGACATTGCAGGGCCAAGCCCAAACTACACAGAATGAGGACTCTAAGGATGTCCGACCTGACCGCCTTGGAACTGTTACTCATCATACTAGGAACAGCCTTCTCACAAGAACGTGAGTCATGGTTTATATGTATTTCATTTTTTCTCACTTGAGGTTAAGTTGTTAATTCTGTAACAGGATTATGGACATTGGGAACATTCTTAAACATCTCCTTATAAATGTCTATGGATCGTGAACACTTGAATACATTTGCATACTGTTTTCTAATTATATTTCCTATGTGTATCGTTTTAGCCTGCACGCCGATAGATTCTGGCGGAATCTCAACTCTAACAGTGTCAATTCTGGAGGCAACAGAAGCAGGTACGTTGTGCTGTAAAATAATGAAATCAGATTATTAAAATAATGCCAGTGTTATATCTATAAAGATACCTAAACGTGCATATTGTATCTTTTACTTTCTTTTACCGTTATCATCTTTGTTTTCAGATCTAAAGGCTAACCCCGACTTCCACACGGCCCAGATACGGATATTCGGCTCCGTGGGGTCTACTGTATCCCTGATATTATCACGGAACATAGCCGGAATCGACCCCAACGATTACTTTCGACTTGAAGACTTCCAAAGCGGGATTTATCTTCGTCTATTTCGGGCACTCGACAGAGATGTACGTACTATGTGGTCACGTTTACGTACTACGTGGTCATGATTCCACGTAATGTTGATTCTATATGAAATAATAAATGAATGCTCTATGTTTAAGATTCCCTGACGCCCGTTTCAACATGTTGTGTGATATCCTATGCGAATATAAAGATTTATGCTGTGTTTCAGGGCGCGTCACCTTCAAGTTTTGACGATCAAAATGTTTTCGAATTCGTCATGGAATGCAACTCTCTGATCTCAGCAACTACACGCTACTATCCACTACGAGTTGCAATTGAGGACACCAACGACAACGCCCCCGTGTTCGTCGGCGCCCCCTATTCTATTTCAGTCAGCGAGGTAAGATCATATAAGATCAATTTCCTTTGAACAGAAAAATACAAATAAGGAAAGGTATCTCATGAAGAGATGCAAGACGTTCTTTTGTCATAAGAGTTCCTGCTCTCTCTTATCACTGCACGTTCTCTTCTCAGCTTGCCCCAATTGGAACGACGGTCTTCCAAGGACTTTCTGCCACCGACCTTGATTTTGGAGGAAATAAGAATATTGATTTTGGTATTGTGCCTGGATCAGGTGCAAAGGTGAGACATACTTACTATAACGTTCAACCGTTATGAATTTTACTGCTACCATGAGCTAATGTTGATCTCTCGAATTCCTCTATTCTAAATCACGTACTGCACATCCCGTTTAATGGTTCCGTTGTTTGTCATTATGGAATTCAAAGTAGTTATGCTCACACATGTTGTTTTCAGACTGATGGAAGCACGGTATTCCAGATTAGGCGTCCCAGCGAGGGTTATGTCACCGTGACAGGTGGTCTAGACTTTGAAGAACTGAGCGCTGTCAACCAGGCATACTACATCCTCAACATCTCAGCCTCGGTAAGCTGCAGAACAGTGTTATAAGCTGTAGAACAGTGTTATATGCTGCAGAACAGTGTTATAAGCTGCAGAACAGTGTTATAAGCTGCAGAACAGTGTTATAAGCTGCAATGCAGTGTTATAAGCTGCAGAACAGTGTTATAAGCTACAGAACAATGTTATACCACATCAATATAGTTTTTGTTGGTACTTGTATTTTGGTACCTAATGTATTTGTTTTGCTTTAAGGACCGAGCATACCCGCTAACCAACCGCAAAACGTCATTTACAACTCTGAGGATCGACATCACCGACGGAGATGATTTGGGCCCCGTCTTTGAATACTCATCCTGTGCTCGCTACGACGGCATCTGTTACAACCCTCGCTACACCACCACCGTCACCTCAAATGAACTGGTAAGTAGTTCAGTCATATAGTTCTGAAATATAAACAGTTTATTTGTCTGAATACTGTCTGACTATATTTTATGCTGAACGTTTTTCTCCAGACTGGCCAGATGACGTTCTTCCCATCTCCCGCCATCACGCCCACCCAGCAGACCGTTAGCATCCAAGCCAAGGACCAGGACACATTGAACTCTCCCATCAGATTCTTCATCCAAGAGAGTAAGAAATTTAATGTAGAGCCTATCTAGAGAAAGAAACTTCCAAGCAATCTTACTGATTAATCATTACGGAGACGTCATCACATCCCTTATTACTGTCAAGAGTGAAAGAAAGCGCGGTATTTGTAATTGATTTTTAATATTCGTGCAACCTTTTGCAGCAATCCCGTCAGGATACACCAGCATGTTTGCCGTCAACACCCAGAACCCGCCCCCGGGGTCAGACATGTACACGGCCGCTATTAACCAGATACAGAGCATCAGTAGACTCTCAACACAGACTCTCACCTTAGTCCTCAGGGTAAGCATGTCTGATGTAGATGAGGAACCAAAGAAAAACTGGAAGAGCATGAATTCTATTATACCATACATCAATATGATTCCGAATTGTCATAATGTCATGCAATAATAATCATCATCTACATGTTTGTTTGCATAGGCCGAAGAGCAATCAGATCGTAGGCGGTATGAACGGGCGCAGATTGTCTTGTCCATCAACTCCGCTAATCTCTTTGCCCCATCTGTGACGTCATCAACCGGAACTTTGACCGGCTACATCTTCGAGAACTCCGCAGTAGGAACGCTGGTGACCGACCTGTCTAACTCACAGCTATTGCAACTTCAAGTAACGGACAGCGATGTGGTGAGTCGGACAAAACTAAACCAAAACAACAACAAAAACAACACACTCATTAAAGAAACTTAAAACAATATTTAAACATAGATTTACTTTTCCTTCAAATGAGCTTGTTTCACTTCCAGCTTGCGTCTGACCCTCGCCAATCTTACACATTTACTGTAACGGGAACAAGCATCTTCGGCGTCAACAGCAACGGATATATCAGTCTCAACACCAACAACCTGGACTTTGAAACAACACCCGTTGTCTCCTTCTCGGTGAGTAGTGGATCATATTACCTATATGACTATATTGAAATGACCAATATACTGGCATGAAATGGGGATACTAGCCACCGAAACATTTACAAATCTGAGTTCACGGTATATAATTTTCAGGTTATTGTTGCCGAAGCAAGCACTGCAGAGAAACGATCATCTACAGTTTCTCTGACTATCAACGTGTTCAACAGAAACGACGACGCCCCGATTTTCCCTGCAACAACATCCATCATCAAGGTCGGAGAGGGAGACTACTCCCGCAATCCTCAAACCATCCTTACGGTAAGTTACAGATATCTACCGTGAATCTCAATACTAATAAGTGGTATCTTTGGTAACAGAATAATTTTTTGTCATTTCGTAAAGTGTTGACCATGTAACTGCACATTTGATCATCTTCATTTTTACTAGCTCCCATACTTATCTGTTTGTTGTTCAGGTTGTGGCAACTGATGCTGACACAGGGGTCAATGGTGCCATCACGTACTCTCTGGTTAGCGTCAGTGGTGACGGAGATGGGAAGTTCCAAGTTGACAGTGTATCTGGAAGTATTCAAATTGTGGGGAGCGTGGTCCGGAACACCATCTACACCCTGTCAATACAAGCTACTGATAACGCCCTCGACGGGGAACAGAAGTCGGCACAGACCGCTGTCATTGTCAACGTCACTAGGACCGGCAATGAGGGTCCATCAATTCCATCCCCCAACTACAGCCTGTCCATCAGCGAGGGCGTTCCCATAGATACATCCATATTTGCTGTTCCGGTATGTATTGTGTTATAGTGTAAATCGCGCATCGTTCGCCATAACGTTGTGACTTGGATTACACCTTGTATTCAACCAGAAGACATACACATAATAAAACATTTTTTTAATGAACTATCTTTCCTATTTGCCAGGCAACTGATATTGACAACGACGTCCTGACATACAGCATCATCTCAGGCAACAGCAACTTTGACTTCACCATTGAGCAAAACAAGTGAGTAAACCGCGTTCTATTTTCTACTTATGTCGCATTGCCACATATATTGTCAAAACAAGTAACATAGGCAATTTGTTTTCCATGATATTAAGATATCTGCCCTGAAACGTACTGTTACGGCTGAGGTATCTATAAAACCTGTTTTGTTACAGCGGTATTGTCAGAACGAGAACCCGCCTGGACCGAGAGCGTCGCCCTAACTATTCCCTGTTGGTCTCTGTGTCGGACTCCTCAAGCCGGGTAAGGATATATATATATATATATATATAATAGGCATACACATATACATGTATATAATATCTAAGCCAGTATATAAGGGGTCATAATGCCCAGTTGTGACCATATAAATATGAAGTGTAACTATTCAACACACCCTTTACATGTTGGAACTGAATGTTTATCGCACCTCGCTCTTCTTGCCAACAGACCGCAACTACTACTCTCAGCCTCGTAGTCACCGACATCAACGACAACAACCCCATCTTCCTCAATCAGCAATACTCCTTCTCCGTTGACGAGAATGTGATCAACGCACCTGTTGGCAGTGTATCGGTATGCTTTAGTTTTCAGTATATTTTCATTCTTGTTCAGTAATACTGGCCTTCGAATTCCAATATACGAAGTCTAAAAATACAAATTGATATATTTGGTAATGTCTCTCTGTGCAGGCAAACGACCAAGATGAGCCAGACACAGTGAACAGTCAGATGTTCTACTCACTGAGTGCTGAAAAGTAAGTACGCCGCTTATGATATCATATATCTAAATTTAAATCATACAATTATACCATCATCTCTGACCAGAGAACAGCATGAATGAAAGAAGTTATTATTACCTTTCCTTGACTGTTTTCAGATTTACGATCAACTCCCAATCAGGGGAGATCACCACGACCGAAGCTTTGGACTACGAGACTCAAAAGGTGCATTATGTTCTTGTCATTGCCCGTGATTCTGCTGTCGACAGCCGCAGTGGCACTACCACCGTCACCATCAACGTCCAAGACAAACAAGACAACGTTCCTATCTTTGTACAGTCACTGTACGAGCCCAAGGTTCCGGAGAATGAGGCCAACTATCTTGTCGCTACTATAAAGGTAGGTTTCCTGATAAAATGTAGTCTGTTACACGTACACCTTTGATTTAAACGCTGTAAAAATTTCACGACCAATACTCGAAATTATAAGAATACCGATTGATATGAGCCCTTCAACTTATATGTGTTATGCATTTTAATAATTATCCATTTGAATGTGAACAGGCTGAAGACGCAGATTCTGTCGACAACATCGTCTACCAACTGGTCGGCAGTGGAGCTAGCAATTTCACCATCTCACAAAATGGCGAGATACACACTCGACAAGCACTTGACTACGAAAGCAGTAATTTTTACGAGTTCTTCGTCACAACAGCAGATGGCGTCAACTCGTTCCTCCCGTCAGCCACCGCGACTGTCAGAGCATCCGTCATCGTGAGTTATCTGCCTGTTGATATACATACGAACTAAACTGAAATTGATTTTACCTGAGAAAATCACACATTATTGTTGTACTCATTAATGACTGTTCCATGAATGACTTTCAGGATCGAAACGACAATGCCCCAGTTGTGAGTTTGTCCGTCACCACTATAACGCTGCAGGAGAGTACCCGGGTGGGGGACGTACTTACTACAGCCTCAGCCGTAGACAACGACCCTGCTGTAAGTATAGCGTTGATGTGAACGTTGAAACACAATCCATTGATTGAAATTGATGCAGTACCATTGAATATGGTTAAAACCAAATGTATTGTTCTTTCCACAGAATATGGCCAACAGCCGCATCTCCTACAGCATCAGCGGCGTTGCTCCATATCAGGGCAGAAACCTGTTTTACATCAACCCCAATAACGGACAGCTGCACCTGGGACAGTCATTTAACACAGATACGTCTGGTGCCAGCAGCTACCAGGTCGTGGTGACGGCCACCGACTTTGGCACCCCACCATTATCGGGTGCAGCCACCATGAACATCAACGTAGTGAGGAATACCCAGGCTCCAGTCTTCAACAGTGCCAGCTACCGGGCCACCATTGATCAAACTCTAGGAGTCGGTAGTAGTGTGTTGACCATGTCAGCCTCTGATGGGGACACCCAGCCACCTTACAACGTCATCTCGTATTCACTCGTTGGGGATGGTAATGCGCCTTCATTCTTCCGACTTGATGGTGTTAACAGCGGCTTGATCATTGTGAAGGATACTTTGACTAAGGATTCAAGTCTGTCTTACGTGGTGAGTCTTCTGATATGCAACAGGTATTGTTCAGATCGTAAATATTCATGTTCTATTTATCAGAAATCAGGATATATTCTGGGTCTTTCCAATAAAGTTATTCAATATCTGTTTTTCAGTTACGAGTTGTGGCTACTGATGGTGGAAACATTGCAACAACAGCAACAGCAACAATCATCGTCAACCGAAATCTCAACCGTCCCACATTTGTCCGAACGTCACTGGCAGCGACAATTGTGGAGAACTTTCCACTGGCTACTTCCATAGCAAAAGTCCAGGCAGTAGACAGTGATATCCTAGCCCCCCACAATCAAGTGACGTATAGCATCATCGGAAACCAGAACGCTGTGAACTATTTCGCTGTAAGTTCAAGAGGAGAAATTTCCCTGAAGCGCTCTCCAACTGATACCACCACCAACACCTTCCAGGTGAATGTGTCCGCTCAGGACAGCGGTCTCCCGGCCCCCCTTGGGAGCCAGACCAATGCTCTAGTCACAGTGACAATTTCCCGCAACCAGAATCCTCCAATCTTCTTCAACTCAAGCTACAGCGTGGCTATTCCAGAAACATCGACCGTTGGATCTTCTGTGATCCAGATCTCTGCAACTGACTCGGACTCAAATGTAAGGATTCTTTTGAGTACATTACGTAGTGTGTGATACTTTGTGATGAATTATCTATATCATGTGAAATTTTCTATGATTTATTTATGCTGATGAACGTATTTGCAGCCCCAGTTCAACCAGATCAGATACACTGTTATTGGTGATGATTCGGCCGGGACCTTCTTTAGCATCAGCCCCATCACCGGACTCCTGTCAACCCAGGCCTCTTTACAGTCTGAGAATGTCGACAGATACAGTGTAAGTATATTCACATTGCAAGCCCTCAACAGTACTATCAGTATCCATGTTCCAGTATTACCTTTCATATCTATTGGGTATCAATACTGAAAATGACGTGCACATCATTCTATTTTAAGGTTCGAATTGTCGCCTCTGACAATGGTTCCCCAGCCAGAAGTGCTACTTCAGTCGTCCTAGTGAGTGTTCAGAGGAATTTCTTCGCACCTGAATGGCAGAGTCAAACCTTCACTACCAACGTCCTTGAAACACAAGCTCTAGGTGTCCCAATCTTGTCAGTGACCGCAACCGACCGTGACCTGCACACACCACATAACGTCGTCTATTACCAACTGACCGGAAGTGCTGCAGTATTATCACACTTCCACATTAATGAGGTCACTGGTGAGATCAGCATCAGGACCCCCCTAACTTCGGACACATCGGATCCTAATCAATACGTAGTAAGTACAAATTGATCTTTACTAAACGCAATATCTGTTAAATGAAGCTGATAATTCAAATATATTTAAAACCAAATAACAGGTTCTAAACTGAAATGTGTTTATCTGCTTCAGTTCTCTGCTCGAGCAATTGATCGTGGTACACCAACCCTAACTGCATCCAGCAATGCCAGCGTTGTCATCAATGTCGTCCGCAACCAAAACGGTCCCGCCTTCGTCGGTGAACCTTACGGCAGGTCCATTCGCCAGGATCTGGGCGTTGGTTCGTCTGTCATTCAGATCAACGCTGTCGACCCTGACACACAAGCTTCGTTTGGAGACATCAGCTACAGCATCATCGGCATCGACACTGCACCATCCTTCTTCAGCATCGACAGTGTCACTGGACTGATTACGCTGAGGGCTAGTGTAGCCACGGATTCTACAACTGAGTATAGAGTGTTGGTCCGGGTCGAGGACAGTGGATCTCCGCCCAAAAGTGACATCACAGTTGTGACTATTACAGTTAATAGGAACCTTGCGGCACCTGTGTTCCAAGCTCTGGCCTACAATATTACTATACTCGAAACTCAAAACCTGGGAGACACTATTGTCACAGCCCGAGCCACGGACTCCGATCTTATGGTGAGTGTCTTGCAATGAAATTGTGTCGAAAGTCTTATTCTTCGTTTTGACCTTCTCTGAACTAATTGATGAAACACTGTACTGTACATTTGTAAACATGTTTCGGTTTTATTCCAGTCCCCTAACAATGCTATTGTGTATAGTGGAGTGGGAACAGCTCGGGCTCTGGAGTACTTCTACATCAACGTTGTGACAGGCGATATCTCTGTTCGGCGCTCCCTCATTGACGACACCACTGCCAACAACGACAAATACACGGTACGTTGACAGCACGGGATGTTACAATATGCTATACTTCTACATCATGCTGTAGCTAAAAGACAGTTGAATCATTGTTTATGCACTGAAAATATATATTATTTGTACTGTTTCAGCTTACCGTTGCTGCCCAGGACAAGGGTGTGCCAGTCTCCCTAAGGGCCACTTTACCTACGATTGTCAACATCTACGTGATCAGAAATCAGTTCGGACCGGTATTTGCCAACACTCCATACTCGGACACTATTTCTCAAGCCACTGCTGTGGGAACAAGAGTCTTTACAGTCAGAGCCAATGATGACGATCTTAGGGTATGTACTACCTCCATGGCTATTGAATGGTCAGATCTGAAGCACTGAAAACAAGCAGGTGATGTTCATGTTGATGCATTGTCATACCATCTAAAATATGTCTTACTTTTTCTATACAGGCTCCCTACAACATAGTGCAGTACAGTTTGATCGGTGACGACAACGCTCCCAACTTCTTCACCATCAATCCTGTTACTGGAGAGATTGCGACTCGCGCTACCATTTCCAGCGATACTTCTCCCTCCTACAGGCTTCGTGTCATGTCCTACGACGGTGGCAACCCCTCAAGGAATACTTACGAAGTTGTCACGCTCACAGTGGACCGCAACCTGTTTGCACCAGCCTGGCTCAGCCCATCTGGTCCCGGCTTTACTGCTGCAACCACTATCTTCGAGAGCGCCGACTTCAACACTCCTGTATTCCAAGTGTCCGCCACGGATAACGATGCAGCAGTAAGTTCATTGACCAAATATCAATATGCTCGTAAATGTAAAGACAAAATCATTCAGAATATTGCTTCAAAGTTCGGTCCATATATTTCAATGTTTTTCACTTACAGGCTCCCTACAATACAGAGGTTTACAGTCTGGTTGGAGACAGTTCTGCCTTGACCTACTTCTCAGTTGACGCAAACAGTGGTCACATCCGATTGAAGACCTCTCTCCTTCAGGACACAGCGCAGCAATACACCTTGCTAGTCCGCGTCACAGACGATGCCCAGCCTCAGAGACCAGCCGCCAACACGGCCACGGTTCTGGTTAATGTCCTGCGTAATAAGTTTACTCCTTTCTTCATGGATACTCCATACTCTCGTCCAATCTCGGAGAATCTCGCAATAGGTTCTTCAGTAGTCACGGTTACAGCTTTGGATAATGATCCGCAGAATACGTTTGAACGTGTGAACTATGAAATTATCGGAGACGACGCTGCCCCTGTTTATTTTAATATTGCCCAGACCACGGGAACACTGTCCATATCGCAATCATTGGTTGGCGTGGCTGAGAGTACATTCTACGTGAGGGTTCGAGCCTACGATAATGGTCTACCTATTCCAAGAAGTAACACCACTGTTGTCACTGTCACCATCAGGAGGAATCTCAATGCACCAGTTATCTCCCCTACACTGTACGAGAAGGTCATCCCCGACACTACTCCACTGGGAACGGTTGTAACAACTATCGGTGCTACTGATGCCGATTTAAGTTCTCCCCACAATGTCATCCGATTCTTTACTAGTAGTCCGAATTCACTGGCTGACGAATTCTTCTTCCTTGACGCCGTATCTGGTGATGTGTCGGTGAAAAAGTCGCTCACACTCGACACGACCCAGAACTCAGTTTACACGGTAAGTCCATTAATTATTTATTATTTTTTTATTTTATATTATATTGTATTAAACCTTTGAATGTATGTTGACATAAAAGTGGACTTTACACGGAACGAAATATGAATATGTAACGGTATTGCACAAACATTCATAACAAGTATATGATTATATCTAAAGATATATCTGTATCTGTATCGTAATATCACAATATTACAGATGGCGGTAAGAGCTTCCGACACTGGGATCCCCCCTCTGACATCGCAGGAAGCCCAGGTTCGAATCCAGGTGACACGGAACATCCATGCCCCACGCTTCTTTCAATCTCAGTACGAAGCCACTCTTCCAGAGATGCGTAGTGTTGGGGCTGTCATCGCTCAGCTTACTGTCTCTGATGCTGACACTGTGGTGAGTTTCGTTTCACAATGTACGTGTCCCCCAACCTAACTTAACCACAGAATCTTTCTGTTTCCATCATCGTAGTGATATGAATATGCAGAGGATGATAATTGCTGGATTGTGTATTTCCAGACTCCCTTCAATGCTGTGACTCTCCGGGCTGTTGGTGACGACCTGGCTACAACATACTTCGGCATCAACCAGACTGGTTCTGTGTTTGTACAGAGAGACCTCAGAAGCGACACACTGACGTTTTACAGGGTAAGTGTGCCACGAAGTTGCCATTTTAATACAAATACAGCCATAAATACTTCCACTATCTTGGACGACATGTGAAATGAATTCCTCATCTATATTGTCACGATTACCCTCCAGCTGAGAGTGGAAGCACGAGATGGCGGCTCTCCAGCTAGAAGTGCAACTGTCCTTGTCAACATCAACGTTCAACGCAACCTCTACGCCCCAGTGTTTAACCCAGCTCGCTATGAAGAAACCATCATGGAAACAACTGGACTGGGCGTCAGTCTCGTCAGAGTGCTGGCTACTGACGCAGACACAAGGGTATGTATTGCAATATCATATATATATCGGACTTGTCCGCAACTCTGTAAATAAGAGTGCACAACTCACATGGTACCATTATACAGGAATTTCATCTTTCCAAACACCAATGTTCCAGGCTCCACACAATGTATCCCGATTCAGCATCAGCCAAGGCAGTTCGAGTTCTCAGGGACGCGACTACTTCATCATCGACTCCGTCAGCGGAGTTGTAACCCTCAGACAGTCTCTCATGACCGACAACACCCAGGCTACAATTTATACTGTAAGTTAAATTTAGTTAAATAATCCCATCGATAATATTTCTATTACGTCTTACCGTAAGTAAAATAAAGGTAAGGGCGTAAAAACGTAACTATATTTCAATTATTTCCAGGAAATGTATTACTAGTATTTCAATTGTAGCTTTAATGTCATTTTATCGTTACAGTTCAACGTTGACGCCACAGACACTGGCGTGCCTTCCCTCTCCAGCGGCAACGCTGCCACCGTCATCATCAACGTCGTCAGGAACCGCAATCCCCCATTCTTTATTGGTCAACCGTATAGTACCTACATCAACAGAACCTTGCCAGTAGGGGCAGTCGTTTACGACTTAGACGCTCAGGACTCGGACATCAGGGCTCCATACAACACCATCGAATACGACGTCATCGGCGACGATGTGTCACCCGTGTTTTTCACAGTTGAGGCTCAGTCCGGTCAAATCAGATTGACGCAGAGCATTCTAATGGAATCGGAACTAATCTACCCAGTAAGTGTCTTTATGCAAATACATTTACTTATTCGCCATGTTTAATCAATTCCCCTGTTAATGTTCCTCACTGTCATTTACCCTTTACCTTTTTCAGGTGAGAATCCGTGCTCGCGATGGTGGTAACCCACGTCTCACAGCAACAGCCCTCGTCTCAGTGATTGTCAACCGCAATCTGCACGACCCCAGTTTCCTAAGACAATCCTACGACATCACCATTCTTGAGACTACAGCTCCAGGAACCAGTTTCATCAACGTCGCTGCCAACGATGCTGATATCACAGTGAGTAGACTGTACCAGATATACGCATATTCTACCCGTAAAACTGAACAATGTTATTCTAGCGAATACCCATTGGTATGTCTTTAGCAAAAAACGAATATTCTTCTTTTCTTCCAGGCTCCCTACAATGTGGTTCGCTACTACTTCGCCTCGTCCGTGGATCAGTTTTACCTGGACGACGTTTCAGGTCAGATCAGTGTCAGAAAGAATCTTGTTGGAGAGTCGCAGAACTCATTTACAGTAAGTGACAGAAGAACCACAGATAACAACGGACACACAATATATACAAAAGAACATATGCTTATAAATTCAATCATGTATTGTTTTAAGTTATAGTTTCATTTATATATACACTTATAAATCATAACCGGTTTCATATTAATGCCATAAGTATGTCATATTATTACAGAATTTATGATTTTCTGGTGTATTGTATTTTCAGTTCAGTGTAATAGCACGTGACGGCGGAAGTCCCCTCGGAACAGTACTGTTGTATCTGTGACAGTCACAGTCCTCCGTAACAACAACCCCCCAACCTTCGTCAGTGAGCCTTACACCATCGACCTGACTTCCAACACTCCCGTGTCCACCAGCCTGGTCCAGGTGGCCGCCACAGATGCTGACGTACAGGACCCATACAACAGGATCAGATTCACCATTATCGGGGATGATGCAGCACCAAGCCTCTTCACCATCGACGGCGCTACCGGCGTTATCAGGCTCAACAGCAACATCAACACCGACTCCAGCAGTATTTATAAGATTCGTGTCTTGGCTCAAGACGGTGGCAGTCCGAGTTTGTCAGATACGACTGTCGTGTCTGTGAACGTCACCCGTAACCTCTTTCCGCCGGAGTTCCGGAGCACATTCTCTAATGTTGCGATCACTGAAAACCAAGCCCTTGGGGAGTCTTTCTTCAGTGTTGTTGCAAGCGACAATGATGTCAATGTAAGTTGCGATGACTTGTAAAAATCAATCAACTCTTTCATTTCGTTTAAATAACAATTAAACAAAACAAGTCCTGATACTTGATAATAGCTAAAATCATTCTTCATCCACAGATTCCCAACAATGTGGTCGAGTACACATTGTCTGGCAATGATGCCGCGAAGGAGAATTTCCAAGTGGGCAGTCTGTCTGGTCAAATATCTCTGCTGCGGTCAGTGTCTGATGACGGGAACAGACCTTCCACGTACACCCTCACCATCACCGGGCGAGACATGGGCATCCCTCCACGCGCTGCCATCAACACGGCCACCGTGACGGTATCAGTAGCGAGGAACAACCACGCCCCCACCTTCAACGGCCTGCCATACCTCAAAACCATCTCCAGGACTCTCGGTGCCAGTGCTAGTATATTACAGGTCACCTCTGTGGACGCCGATATTAGAGTAGGTTTCCTTCTATAGTATTCGTTATAACTTGATAATATGAAACACTATGTGGCTAAGTTACTGAGGTAATTACTTCTCTATAAATATATTACTGTTATAAAAAATAATTTGAGTATATATTTCACTTGCAGGCACCTTTTAATCAAGTTACACTGAGTGTTGTCGGAGATGATTCCGCGCCAAATCTTTTCACACTTGACGACACCGGAACCATCCGTGTTGCAAACAACGTCGATCTGGCCCAAGATTCCGCTCTCAAGTACAAGGTGAGTGAATGTTTCAGTAGAGTTACGTCATTAACATGTATCGCCCAGTTTATACTTAGACAAAACTAGATCACACATCAGTAATTCTTTCTTCATATAACAACTGTTTTCACTCCACTTGTAGCTGCGAATCCTGGCCTATGATGGCGGTGTCCCATCACTTAGTGCAACAACTACAGTCGACATCACAGTTCAAAGGAACATCTTTCCACCTGTATTCACCAACAACGATGTAATCCGCGTCGTGATCCAGGAAAACACAGCTGTGGGTACGCTCATCGCCGATGTCAACGCCACAGACGCCGATCCTGACGCCCCCAACAACGTCTTTAGCTTCAGCGGCATTGGGGATGGAGATGCTACGACCTATTTCTTTGTCAATCCGGTCGATGGAAGGATAACTCTCCTGAAACCTGTGAATGGCAGTAGCATATATGGATTTAGGGTAAGGGTGGCCTACCTTTATTGTTTGTTATTGTGTTTTGGCTATTTGATTCCGGAATGAGGGAATTTCCTTCACAGCAGCACCAAGGTTTTGGTTTTTTTTACATATATTCGTTTTTGGTTTTAGCTTATTGTTCAGGCCCAAGATGGCGGCTTCCCTCAGCTACAGAGCACCACTATCGTTGAAATCAGCATTCTGAGGGACACGGACTCCCTTCAGTTCACCCTCCCTAGCTACACAGCCAGTATATCCGAGAATCTCCTAGTGAACACTGTAGTCACATCTACTGTCGCACAACCTGGGGTAGGTGGATCAATTTATATATAACAACTTTTTCCGAGTTCATATACATTGGTCGATTGAGTCTTCTTGAATGAATACAACACAGATAGAGACGCCATCTAATATTGACATCGTATTGCAGCCTGGAGTGAGCTACATCCTGACTGGGTACAGCAGCGGACCTGACTACTTCACCATCAACCCAACCACCGGCGCCATCTTGGTCAAGAAAGATCTCAGGAGTGACCTCAACAAACTCAACATGTACTATGTAAGTAGCCATGGAAATAGTTTTAAACTGATTACAGGCTCTCATCATCAACAGAAGGATAACCTAAACAAAACGTGTTTTCAGTATCGTCAGTGTTTATCTAACCTGGTAATATTTCTTTACTTTCAGCTCCACGTTAAGGCGTCCCGTCAGTTTACTACTGGTCTGAAGACCGCCATGACACAGGTAAATATCTCGGTAACCAGGAATGAGAACCCACCTGTATTCAGCACTGAGATCTACCAAGTGACCATCCCCGAGACACTGAGCTTAGGGTCATCTGTCCAGCAACTGACTGCTACTGACGCCGACTCTCAAGACATCCTTGCCTACTCAGTTGTTCCTCAGGGGAACATCTCCGACATCTTCTACCTCGGCCCTTCCTCAGGACTCATCTCACTCAGGACGTTCCTGGAAGGCGGAACCATTAATGTCTATCAGTTTAACGTCATCGTCAGTGACCAGTCGCAACCCGCCAAGACAGACAGAGCTACCGTTATTGTTAATATTCTGCGAGACTCTTTTGCCCCTACCTTTGTTAGAGAACCCTACAGTACCAACGTCGTCTTCAACGTTCCTATCGACACTAACATATTCAACGTGGAGGCTACAGACCGGGATCTACAAGGCAGCATTGTGTACGAAACCATCGGATACCTTGCTGGACCAGGCTACTTCGCTGTGGACTCCAGAACAGGAGCTGTGACAGTCACGGCGTCTTTAACCACCGATACATCCTCATCATATGTGGTAAGAAAGATATTAAATCAGCTTCTTTTTCCAAAAGGGTTTTGCTTTTTTTGGACAAAATTGAAATTAAATTGATATAGTGTTGAATCTAGGCTTATCATTGTCGTGTTACGTTTCCAGCTGGGTGTGATGGCATATGACAGTGCAAGACCTCTCCAGAAGGACTATGCCAACTTAACCATTGAGGTGAACCGTAACCCCAATCCCCCAGTATTCACGCAGAACACCTATGCAAGACGTATTCCAGAATCCTTTGCTCTTGGTGCCAATCTTGTCCAAGTTACAGCCACTGATGCTGACTCGGTGAGTATTAGAAATATGTTCTTACAAGGTTTCATAATAAATACGTTTCAGCGTATCTGCACATCATAATGTCAGGGTATGTTCCTCCATAACATGTCTGCATTATCACTTTTCAGCACACTGTTCACTATGAGATCGTGTCCGCCAACCCTTCTGAAGGAACACAGTACTTCTATATGAACAAAGACACAGGGATGTTCACCGTCGGTCGTCCTCTCACAGAAATAACATCGAATGGATTTATAGTAAGATTTTACTGGCCTAAATCTATAATTACACGGTTTAATGATTTTAAAGATTGTTCCGTGCATTAAACAATAATAACATCAAAGAACCACTCTGGATCATAACGTTAAAAAAATCACTCCTTTGCCTTTCAGTTCAACGTTCGTGCCTTTGACGACGGCGTGCCTCCCCAGCAGAGCTCAACGTTAGCCCAAGTGACTATATCCATAGACCGCAACCAGTTCGGTCCTCTCTTTGTTGACGTCCCATACGAACAAACCATTAGAGAGACCATTCCTGTTGGAACAAGCGTTCTACAGGTGTCTGCCCGCGACAATGACCCCCAGGGCTCAGCCTTCTCCAACATATCGTACGTCCTTATCGGGGACGACTCTATGCCGTCGTACTTCACCCTCAACAGCGTCACCGGCACCATCTCTGTCAGGGCTAGTCTTACTGCGGAAACACATGGCATATATCAAGGACGAGTAGTAGCTTACGACGGAGGTGCCCCACCTCGTAGTGCTACGGCAGTAGCTAAGATCCGAGTCTTGAGGAACTTATTTGAGCCCCAATTCAGTGAGCGCAACTATGAAACAGAAATTCTGGAAACTATCGGAGTAGGGACATCGATACTACAGGTCCGAGCTTTTGACAACGACACAAGGGTAGGTACTTTTGATCCGTAACACCTGGTGTCAGGACTGATATTGAGTGCCCCATTCTTACATCTTGACTGCTATTTTGCCTGTTCGGCCAATGGAATGTGTTGTGTCAAATATTGGTTGTACTGGCTGAACTCTGACGTTAAGGTTATATATACTCATAGAAACGAGTAAGGGAACACCTGAAAGTACAAGTGTTCCATTATTCTTTCCCGAATTTCACCCACAGTGCAATACAAAGCTTGTGAAGAAACCTGGAAAAGAATAAAGGAACACCTGTACTTTCTGGTGTTCCCTTATTTGTTTCCATGAGTATATTTATAGATTGCTTTTCAACAAATACATTTTTAATATGATGCTTGGAATTGCATTGTAATGGCATTCTTCATTATTTCAGCCTCCCTTCAACACAGTCCAGTATGAAATGCAGAGTGGCGCGCGTCAGTCTGACATTTATTTCCAAGTGGACAGTTCTTCAGGAGCTATCTCAGTCCGAGCTCCCCTCACTGGCGACACGCAGAACCAGGCTACGTTCCAGGTACACGAATCTCTTAGCCTCATATATAAGGACCAAACACTCTGTGTCCAACGACCTTTCATCTTATGTCGTCTACTACCAAATACACCATTTTCTTGTCTTGCAGTTCCAGGTGTTGGCGCGGGATCTTGGCACTCCGTTCTTGGTGTCCAGTCTTCTGGCTAATGTCAGGATCAACGTCCAGAGGAACTTGAACCCCCCTTTCTTCCTGACGGAGCCGTACCAAGCCACCATCAACTTCAACACCCCCGCTGGATCCAGTGTCTTCACTGTTTCAACACGTGACAACGACCTCAGGGTATGTCTTGGCAATAATATGAAGTCATCAAATAAACAATGACATATACCAACATACATTTAGCAGAAATATACCTTGTTTTCATTTGATCATTTCCTCTTGTTCCAGGCTCCTTTTAACACTGTATCCTACACCGTTATCGGCGACGACAATGCTCCGAACATGTTCACAATTGGTGCACAAAGTGGCGATATTTCAACGAACAGCCAAGATCTTCAGTCGGACACTGCTTCTGAGTACAAGGTGATTTACCGCTTCATAATCAACATGTTTAAAATTCTATGTTTCATAGTATAGCAATAATGCGCGTTTTCGTCAAATACATAATGTTAAAATGATCTTTTATATTCCTGCAGCTCCGAGTACTGGCCAGAGATGGTGGTTTTCCTTCGCTGACAGCGACAACGACAGTTCTCATCAACGTTGAACGCAACCTGAATGTTCCCCGGTTCCTCACCCAGAACTACAGTGTCAGCATATATGAAACTCATGACTTGGGGCTTCCCATACTACAACTATCAGCTATTGACCTGGATGTGTCTGTAAGTAAATAATCCTCATTTGGTAAATGAACCAGCATTTTTATTGACAACCCTGTGTGCCCAAGGCATCGCGGTATTCAAACAAATAGGAATCGTCCAGCTTTACAAAGAATCTTCTGGAAAAAAGAAACTTCTTGTACTTACAATCATGTTGTCTACTTCAGAGTCCATACAATGACGTCACGTTCAACATGGTCGGGGACGGTCAAGCTCAGGAGTATTTTGCTATCGACCCAAGCATCGGCTCTGTCTATGTGAAGAAGGCCTTGACACTCATCTCCACCAAGCAGTTTGTAGCCATCGTGTCCGTGCGGGACAACGCCCCTAACCCCCTGACTGCTGCAGACAACGCCTTCGTCACTATCAACGTCGTCAGAAACGACCACCTCCCTGTCTTTGTTGGCGATTCTTGCAATCGTGATCTGAGCCAGAATGTTGCTGTTGGAGCCAGTGTCACACAAGTCGCTGCCGTCGACAGTGATTCAACGGTATGTTAAAACGATAATTATTATACTAATTATGATTATACCATCGTATTGATGTTAAAAATATTATTAGTGTCTATCATTATTTCAAATACGTCACCATTATATTTATTTTTATGAGATACTTTTTTCAGAATACTCCATTTGGCCGTATCACTTACGACATCATCGGAGACGACTCTTCGCCCGTATACTTCAACATCAACCCTTCTTCCGGTCTTGTGTCGGTCACCAGGTCTCTGTCCCAGGAGAATGTTGATAAGTACCAACTCCGTGTACAAGCTCGTGACCATGGCGTGCCCTTCAAGTTCAATACTACTGTCTGCGTTTTGACAATCACAAGGAACTTCCGTGCGCCAGTCTTCATCAACGATCAACACTCCACCACAGTCGACGAGACTCTGCCTCTAGGCAGCGTCATCCTCACCGTCAATGCTACTGACGCAGATAGTCTGGCACCGAGCAACATCGTCCGTTACGAAGCAGTAGCAAATACTGGCGATGAGGAATGTTTCCTAGTCAATGAGATCACTGGACAACTAGTCCTCCGTCGAGCCCTTCTCTACAGTCCATGCACAGCTGCTGTCCTCAAGGTATGTACAAACAATATATATCACAATCATTTTATTAACTGAATTCGTTCCTTTAACCGTTAAATATTTAACTGGTCACAATACTGTCATCATTAAAATTCATTCAAAATAACATTATCAACTTGATCTCTACAGATGTACATACGGGCTTATGATCTCGGAGTTCCCCGCTTGACCAGCTCGGTGGCGAATGTGACGGTGATTGTCAACCGAAACAGTTTCACTCCCGAGTTTCTCAACACCCAGTACAGGATATTCCTTCCCGAGACCGAACCAAGTGGATCTCTGGTGTATAACGTCACAACACTGGACCGGGACACCGTGTCTCCCTTCAATGTCGTCCGTCATAGCATCATCGGTGACGACTCAGCAACCACGTTCTTCACCATCGACGACGTGTCTGGACAAATCACTCTTGCTCAGTCCATACTTCCTGACACTGAGACTTCATACCGGGTAGGTGTTGTAAGAAATAACTTTAAACATTCTGTAGATTTTCTGTTGATAAACGCTAAGCGAAAAAGGGAATATCCTGTATATTCACATTCACATTTATGTTTTAGATCCGAGTAATGGCCACTGACCAAGGGACGCCTGCACGGACAGCTACAGCCACAATCAATGTCCAAGTGACCAGAAACCTGTTTGCGCCTCGGTTTAACCCTCTCAACTACGAGGCCGACATATACGAGACCCAGTCCCTGGGTACTTCCATCATTAGAGTGAATGCTACTGACAGTGACACCAAGGTATGTGATGCCCGTTTTGCAAGAAAAGTCTGTTATTCAAGTACATTTTGCATGCTAGTAAACACTTTTGTAATTATGATATTATTTTCACAACGTTCCTTTGCCACAGAGCCCCTACAACAGCGTGCGGTACGAGGCCACAGGAACACAGCAGGCTCTTTCTTACTTCAGTATCGACAATGTTGATGGAACCATCTCTGCTCAACGATCTCTCACTCTGGACGACACCGACGCTACAATCTATACGGTAAATAAACATATAAAAGGTCCTTTCAGACGTTGTTGATTTAGATACGTTTTCACTTTTCAATAAGTTGCAATAATTTGCATGTGCTTGAGTTGCATTGAGTAAATGTTACTGTTTGATTTTATGTTTACTTATATTCTGGTTTCCTCTGCTCATCAGATGACGGTGAGAGCCACCGATCTTGGCACTCCAACACAGCAAAGTACCCAGGTTGCCACTGTGAGGATCAACGTCCTCCGTAACAACAACTGCCCACAGTTCATCAACCTCCCGGCAAACATCACCATTCCAACCTCAGTCAACTTTGGCAACAGTTTGTATAATATCACCGCTCTTGACAACGATCCACCTGGACGATTCAGCACTCTCATTTACGACATCATCGGCGACGACAATGCACCTGTGTACTTCAGCATCAACACTTTCAGTGGTGCAGTCAGCGCACTGCCCAACCTGGTGTCTGACACCTTGACCATGTACAGGTTACGAGTACGTGGCCGGGACGGCGGCTCTCCTTCCTGCGAGAGATATGAAGTCCTCACCATCCACGTACGGCGTAACGAACACCCACCCACTTGGATCTCCAACGGTAACTTCAGTACAACCATCTTGGAGACACACAACATCCTCAGCCCCATCACTCAAGTCTTTGCTGATGATCAAGACACAAATGTAAGGACAACGGTTTTCATGTATTTCATGCTTACAGAAAACAAGCTTCCCTTTTGGATACTAGATTGTTCATGTGACACATGAGTGTATTCTAATTTCTTGTGAATGTTCTGTCTTCAGATTCCAAACAATGTTGTGATATACAGTCTCGCACAAACATCAAACTACCGCGACATATTCTTCGTCGATGACGTCAACGGCAACGTGTATTTGAGGACTTCTCTCATTGGAACAACCAGTAACAGTTATGAGGTAGGCACAGACATATCCGGGCTGACATATTGTTAACTCGTGTCATATTAATTCATGATAACTACTTCTCGACAACATTTTGTGAAGTCATATAAAATTACTTTGTCATAATTACGTCTGATTATAATGTAGCTATGTTCTGATAAGTATCAGTAGGTATTTGATAACACTGACCCTCTCTGCCTGCAGCTGTCCCTCGTGGCGACTGACCAGGGGTCTCCGGCACTGTCCAGTACTCCCGCCAAATTGATCGTCAACGTCATCAGGAACGTCAACCCACCCATCTTCACCATGGAGCCTTACACACAGAACATCAGCCAGAATGTCGTGACAGGATTCCAGGTCATCACCGTGTTAGCAACAGATGCCGACCTCACTCCACCGTACAACACCCTGACATATGACATCATCGGTGACGACTCTGCACCAACCTACTTCGTCATAAACCCATCATCTGGTGTGATCAGCTTGTCCCAGTCAATCTCCTCGGATGTCACAGATCAGTACCAGATTAGAGTGCGTGTCCAAGATGGCGGCAGTCCTCGACTCAGTGATGTCATTGTGGTGCTGGTTAATGTTGAGAGGAACCTGTTCCCACCAACCTTCACTAGCAACTCGTATGGAGAGGTCATCCTGGAGTCTCGAACCGTGGGAACTCGTGTTCTCAGAGTTTCTGCTAATGACCTTGACACAACAGTAAGTACCGAATATTTCATACTCATCTTCGGTGACAGCCCAGTAACTAGGGTCCAGTAGAGTTTCTACTACACCTGACATTTGCTATATCAATGTTTTTTTATTTTTTCAGACTCCAAACCAGATTGTGCGTTATGGTATGTTAGGAGACACAATTGATAGCACCTACTTCATGATTGAAGCCGTCACTGGCGACGTCATCGTCAGACGTCCTCTCACCGACGACACCCAAAACACAGTTGTGTTTGCTGTAAGCATCAACCTTCATCTACTATAATATATATCAGTATTTAGCAAATGAAATATAATATACTAACAGTCTTATGTATCTACTATGTTACATTATTTACCATTCGTTCTGAAATGAATCATTAGTACATATGATGTCTTTTGTAGTTCCAAGCAACAGCAAATGACCTTGGCGCCCTCCAACGTAACGCAACGCCAGTTGACGTGACGATCACCGTCAGGAGAAACCAGAACAGCCCTGAGTTCCTCCAGACGTCCTATACAACCACAGTAACGCAGAACCACCCTGGGGGAAGCAGCGTCTACCAGACAACTGTTGCAGACAGGGACACTGTGGTACGAACAACATACTGATGTACCGATATATAGATGTATATTCACTACACTACTAAATACATACAATTTCCTCATTATTTTCATTGTTTTATAAATTCGATTTTATTATTGCAATCTCTGAGATTAAGAAAATACGTTTTATCCTAACTAAATCGGTTTAATTTCAGGCTCCTTTCAATGTTCTTTCCTTCGAACTTATTGGCGACGATTCTGCGACATCTTTTTTCACCATCAACCCAAGCAGTGGTCTCATCACGCTGAGAAATGGTGCTGATCTGACAACAGACACTGAAATTCGCTACATAGCCCGTGTTCTTGCTCGCGATGGCGGCGTTCCTTCCAGAAGTGCGACGTCGGTCGTAGTCATCAACGTGTTGAGGAATCTGTTCCCTCCTGTGTTCATGAATGTTGACTTCTTCAGGACTTCAATCAAGGAAACACTGACCGTGGGGTCTAACATTGCTGACGTGAATGCAACAGATGCCGACACCACGGTACGTCTCATTACGTTAATGATAACGTTCTTAAGTAAATACCCCTAAGTCCTTCAAATATGATATGCATCTTTGTGATATACTTGTAAAACCTTTCCTTTCTGTTACAGGCTCCAGAAAACACGATTCAGTACTCCATTGAAGGTGATGATGTGGCACCAGAGTACTTCTTCATCAACCCTAACACTGGAGAAATTACTTTATTGAAACCTGTGGAAAATATCAACATCAATCTCTTCAGGGTGAGTACGCGGTAAAGTCATATGTGTCCTTACAAGCTAAACAGTGATTCGGTTTCAGCATTATGTATTTTATGCTTATACTTATAAAATCTCTCCCCAAATGTCTCCCTCAGATCCGAACGACTGCGACAGATGGTGGCTCACCCGGCAGGAGTGCCGTTACTTACGTTGAAGTAACAGTTCTAAGAGAGACTGGTCGCCTGGCCTTCACCCTTCCCTACTACCGGGTAGTCATCAGTGAGAACACAGAGGTCAACAAAAACATCTTGTTCGCTCTCGCTCAACCAGGGGTATGTACACCTACATCATTACAGGTCACTTACACAATGCTGACACTAATCTCCAAACCATCCTAACATCTAGCATTTGTCATCAGTTGATATTTCAGCAGAACTATGTTTTTGTCTTACTATCTTTCTCTCATTTCAGATTGCGTCTTATCGCGTTCTTGGGATCTCGCCCGCACCGACCTTCTTTGACGTCAGTTCCCAGATTGGTGCTATTGCTGTTCGCCGTGATTTGAGACTTGACCCTGCTCGTCTGACATTTTACCAGCTCCAGATCGAGGCTACCGCTACACTGGACATCAGTGTACAGACCGCCACAACCGTGGTCAACATCACCGTAACACGGAATGAGAACGGGCCAGTTTTCACAGACAACAGCTATGTGACCAGCATCCGAGACACCACTGTCATAGGCACCGTGGTTCTCACAGTAACAGCATCCGATATGGATGGGGTGAGAATGGTTCAAAGTTTAAAATTTGTTTAAAAACATAAAATTAAAAAATGTTATATAACATCTTGAATGTTTGAACTCTCATTTATTATTTTTGGATACTAAGTGGTATTCTGACCGCATATTTAAACATTTCAGGATCTGGTAGACTACCGAATGCTGGACAGCAATTCTGCCGGAACGTATTTCTACCTCAACCCTAGAACCGGACAACTCTCAACCAAAATTTCACTCCGTGAAATTAACTTGCAGAGCTTCCAGGTAACTATCTGCCCATGTATCCTATTTAAAATCCCACATCCAAAAGTAGAAAATCCTTTCTGAAAGTACAATATTTACAATGTTTAAATAAGGCTTTTCTATTCCAGTTCCAAATTCAAGCTGGTGATCAACGAGCACCAGAGAGAACTTCACGGTCCAACGTCACAATTGTCATCGAACGTGATCAGCAACGACCTCAATTTGTTGACGATCCCTACACGACTGCAGTTCAAGAGACTACCGTTAATGGATCCACCGTCTACCAAGTGTCTGCTTTCGATGCTGATTTACAGGTAGGTCCAAATTACATATGACTTTAAAGAAAATGTATTTGAAGATATATATATATATGCACAATGCCCCTGCTCAAATCCTAACATAATAACGTAATAATCTTTGATGGTTTTCAGGGTTCCCTCACGTACGAGATCACAGGGGAAGGTGTTGCTCCAGCCTTTTTTGAGATCAACTCTAACACCGGCACGGTTACTGTCTATGACAGAGAAGCTCTCCTGTTTGACAGAGGAACAAACTACAAAGTAAGTTGATTTTAGAGACTCCCACTGATGATGAAAATGAGAACAACAACTATTGTTTCGGACCACTTGTATACACATTGCTAATGTCGTCGTTGTTGTTGCAGCTCGTTGTTGTTGTGTACGACTCTGCCTACCCTGCCGTTAGGGATACAGCCGAGATCGGTATTGCCGTCCTCCGCAACATCAACACCCCCATTTTCACCACCAACACCTACGAGGTTACCATTCCAGACACATACGAACTTGGCACCAACATAACACAGGTCTCTGCAAGTGACAGTGATGGGGTAAGTCTAGCTTCAATTTACATTTTATATATTACGACCATTGATAATGAATTCTTATCAAACGAGTAACATTTTTCTTTAGTTTTAATTCTTAAAATCTTTCATGATTTCAGAATATTGTCAAGTATGAGGTCATCGGCGATACCCGCGCCTTGGAATTCTATTATGTGAATCCCGATAACGGAGTTATCTCACTGAAGAAGCTTCTCACAGAGGGATCCCAGCCCACTGATACGGTAAGAGTACATCCCTATGCAACTACAACTGACAAAAACAAAGAAAATGTATTCTTAACTATTTTTGATCGGTTATTTTTAGGTCACATTATTTTTACGTCAACATAATTATTTTTCAGCTGACAATACGAGCCCGTGACCAAGGTGTCCCCGAGAAGTTCGGCAACTGTTTAGTGATCGTTACCATCAAGAGAGACGATCATGCTCCCGTGTTCACCCGCGTCCCCTACCGGGCCACTGTCCAGCGTCTCTCCCCCGTCAACATGACCGTCATCCGGGCGATTGCCACTGACCAGGACTTGCAGGGAACACTCCACTATGAAATCCTCGGCAACTATCCCGCCCCAAGCTTCTTCCAGATTGATGCCGTTTTGGGTGACATTACAATCAAGCGACCACTTGCATTCGACAGCCTTCTGACAAACACTTACTATGTAAGTAGAAACAAGTAAATTCTTTCACAAGTGACTGTAAATTACATGAACATATGTCTGACATTCGGATTGCATTTCGAACTATGTAGTCGAAAGGTTATCGTAATATTAATATTGCAGGTAACAATGGTTACTTTCGACACGGTGTACCCCAGCAATAGAGCAACCGCAACAGCCACCATCTTCGTGGACAGGAACCCGAATGGTCCGACATTCAACCCCCAAGTGTATGAACGACAGATAGATGAAAACACATCCCTTGGAGCCCTTATCGTTGATGTCAACGCTACTGACTTGGACAACGTAAGATCATATTTCGTGATATACAGTTTTCTCTTATCGCATAAGTATTAGAATTCTATGGAATAAATCTTGAGATTGAACCCTGTTTTAATGGTGTTAATTTTCTTCTAGGACGTCATCCGATATAGTCTCAAGGGCGATACCCTTGACAACGAATTCTTCTACCTGAACGAAGACACGGGTTACATTTCATTGAGAAAAAACCTTTTGTCTGTCAATGATCGCCAGTTTAGAGTAAGTAAAACATTCGTATTGTGAAACAATTATTGCAAAATACCAATAACTATTATACATAAACTGTTAATGTTAACGTTGAGTTGTGACAATCAGTAACGATTATAGCAGACTTCATTTGCTCTGACCACTCTGATATCTCATTTACCTTCGTCCAGTTTAACGTTATCGCGAGTGACCAGTCAAATCCAGAACGAACCTCAACAGCCAACGTCATCGTTAACATCATCCGCGATGAGGCACCACCCCAGTTCGTCCAACTGCCCTACGACACGGTTGTCTTAGAGACAACAAACATCGGCACATCAGTCTACAGGGTCTCCGCCATCGACTCCGACATCAAGGGCACCATTGTGTACACGGCTACCGGAGACCTGCAAGCTCCTTACTACTTCAACATTAACCAAACAAATGGCATCGTCACCGTCCGCAACAACATCAGAGATGATGTCGCATCCAAATATGCTGTAAGTATTTCATATGTATACAGCGACGTTTTTCTATATCATACGAATATGTCATTTCATTTTAAATTATTTCGTTTCTGAAAACGTAGAGGTGGTTCACAAAGCCAAATCTGTACCTAAATGTACAATAATTTATGTTCGTGCAGCTGCGTGTGGCCGCATTTGACAGCGCCTCCCCCGGAAGGACTGCAACTGCTCTACTGAGTATCCAGGTTCTGAGGAACCCCAGCCCTCCCATCTTCACAAGCAGCCGGTATGAGATAACTATCCCAGAACACCAGAATCTTGGGTCTGTCGTACAACAGGTCATGGCCAGCGATCCTGACGGGGTAACTATTCATTTCATTGTTTCAAGATCATTAGACAACTCACAATATTCAGATGTGTTTACAAATCTAACTGCACATCACGGATTATGGAAGTCAAAGATACATCAGTCAAAATGTTCTTGGCTTGATTTACAGGACGTTCTGCGATTCAACCTGGAACTTGACAACAGCGCCAGTGCTTCCAACAGCCTCCTGGCTCTAGAGTACTTCTACATCCTGGAACAGTCAGGGGTCATCTACCTCCGTAAACCTCTAACAGACGACACGGTCGACACTGCCAGATTCACGGTATGTTTCAGATTCATGTGTTGGTACTCTGCCTCTTCTGACTGACTCCGTCTGTGACAATATGCACTTGAAGCCACAGGCCCTCGTGTCTTTGCGATGATTAGAGATTTTATAAAATATATTCAAAATTTTGAGATGACCCCCGACTCGAAATGCTTCACAGTATAATACATTATGACATAATGAATTGTACTGTGAAGCATTTCGAGTCGGGGGTCATCTCAAAAACAATATTTTTTTAAATCATTAATCCTCGCAAAGACACGAGGGCCTGTGCGTGAAGCTTGTATGATTTCCTTACTAATCTGGCCATTTATTGTCCTAGATGTTGGTCCGAGCACGTGATCAGCGAGACAATGAAAAGGAGTCGTTCGCTGTCGTCGTGATCAACGTCCAGAGAGACCAGTTCCTGCCCGTGTTCTCACAGACGCCGTACATTACCAGCCTTGAGGAGACCGTCCCTGTAGGCACCGTGGTCTTCAGACCATCGGCATTTGACAGAGACCTTGTGGTAAGTGTAAAGAATAGTGAACATTGTCTTATTACGTTTACAGTGTTCGAAGATTAGCAATGAAATAAGAACTAGATAACATAATACAAGAAGTGATATTCCCATGAAAATACGCTATAAAATTGAAATGAGCTGAAAATATGTTTCCAGGAAGAACTAGAGTACAGAGTGATCGGCAACAGTATCGGCCCCTTTTACTTTGGCATCAACTCCACCAACGGCGTCATCACTCTGAAGAACAACCTCCGGACAGACAATGCCAATTTCAACTACACCGTAAGTATGGACACAAGGACATATACCTCACGGGCATTACAATACACCTATTGACAAATATATAATTCTAAAACGAGAATATCTACATTGATTCCTTCCTGTGACATATTTAAAATGTATGTTTCAGCTAAGACTGACAGTTATCGACACCGCCTACCCGACCGAGGTCGCCACTGCCACAGTTGACATCAGGGTATCGCGTAACATCTACGCTCCACAGTTCACCCAGTCACCCTACCGTGTAACCATCAACGAGACGGCTAGTGTTGGTGTCGGTATACTGCAGGTTTCCGCGACCGACGCTGATGGGGTACGTTCTGCACCAATACTATGGTATCTTCTATAAATATGAAATCACTTCCATTTAACATTTACAGTTGATGTCCTTTCACTGACATTTATAATGGTTTGTTCAAAGGACCGAGTGATCTACGAGGCAACCGGTGACAATGACACTCTCCAGTACTTCTTCCTGTCCAGTGACACTGGGCTCATCAGCATCCGGGAACCCCTCACATCCTCATCCAGATCTGGTTATAGGGTGGGTAACATATCATATCTTTTACACTGAGTGAGTGAGTGAGTATGGTTTTTAACCACTTATACCAATATTCCAGCAATATTACGGCGGGGGACACCAGAAATGGGCTTCACCCATTGTACCCATGTGGGGAATTGAACCCGAGTCTTCCGCGTGACGAGCGAACGCTTTAACCACTAGGCTACCCCACCGCCCTCTTTTACACTGGCAAAGGTCATATGATACAGATTTTTACTGGGAATGTTATTTTAGGGAATATTATTATTTTGTTCAGAAGTTTAATATTCACATAACTGAACAATAAGTGTTTTATCCAGAAAGTTCAATAAAATGTACATATTGTTCTATTATCAGATGTCGATCATAGCTCGAGATCAAGGCAACCCTGAACAGAAAACACCCGTCCTCGCTCTCATCACCGTTATCAGAGACCAGGCTGCCCCCTTCTTTATAAACACACAGGATTACAGCACCATCGTGAACGAAGCCATACCAGTAGGCAGTAGCGTCTTCAACGTAACTGCACAGGATGGTGATCTTCTCGGCGCCATCAACTACGAACTCATTGGAGATTATCCTACCCAGAGTTTCTTCAGCGTGGACATACAGACTGGGCAGATTGTCACAACTGACAACCTAAAGAGTGACAGTCTCAGGGCGGCTAAATATGTGGTAAGTGTGAATTTAATGATGCATAATGTTTTGCATGGATTTTCTTGCAGCTAAATGTTATGATAAGCTGGTCGAAATGAACGACACATTTTCCATATTGGTGGGACGTTACACATACATTGTATTTTTACAAGTGATTTCGCTTTCCAGGCCCGGATAATTGCTTATGATACAATCCGACCTATGGTACGAGCAACCTCAACAGTGGCTATCACCGTAGTGAGGAACCCTAACAGACCACAGTGGCTGCAGTCCGCTTACATCCAGACCATCTCGGAGACCATGATGGCGGGGACTAGTGTTCTCAACGTTACAGCCAATGACAGGGATGCTGATGTAAGTTATCAAGCGTTTGAAACACAATCCTGATTATAGTTGTATTTAATCCTTTTTTTTATGTATTTCCTTTGTGATGTCATTGCATAAATTGTGTTTCTGATTTTATCGCAGGATATTGTCACCTATGAAATCCTCAGTCAAATTTCGGTGCCTTTTGGTCTGACAAGTCCTTACTTCTACATTGAACGCCAAACTGGTATAATCACTCTCAGGGAGTCAGTCCTCAACGCCGACATCATCCAAGTTCTGGTAAGAATGTTACATATACCTAAGAGTTGTTTATCATCGGACTCATATTATTTTTTAAACATGAAACATAACATATTGTAATTTTCTTACAGATACTCCTAAGAGCGTGTGACAACGGTATTCCTAGACAGTGTGCTAATTCCTCAGCAGGAATCGACATTATCAGGAATCAGTTCTCTCCGGTTTTCCAAAACCTTCCATATGAGATCGTTCTTCCAGAGGCCACAGAGGCGAGCACCCAGGCAACCCTTCTCAATGTCTCAGCCATAGATCAAGATCTGATTGGCCAGATTGTATATGAGCAGGTGCTTCCTGGCAGTGCCTACTTTGACGTCAATCCCGCATCAGGGGCGATAACTCTCAGATCAAGTCTCCTCCTCGATAGCAGACTTCAAATCGTGGTGAGTAAATACACCTTCACTGGATAAACATTTGTGTACATTTCATGTAAAGACATATTTCCGCCTACATTGTTCTGTTTGTTTTGCTATTAATTCTTTTCCCTGGTTTGTACAGTTCCAGGTATTGGCTTACGATGACAAGCATCCCCAGAGAAAGACGACAGCTGATGTAACGGTCAATGTTTTGAGGAACCCAAGTGGACCTCGCTTCCTGCAAGATCCTTATGAAGCGACTGTATCAGAGACGTACCCTCTTGGCGACAGCCTCATCAATGCCACCGCTGTTGACTCCGATGGGGTGAGCTATAAAAACATTATATAGAAATGTTAAAATATAAAGGCTTCGATCCCTTTTCAGCTATATCCGTGAAAAAAATATTTATACCATACGTATTGTGATTTTGCAGGATGTACTCCGATACTCTCTCATGTCCTTATCAATTGACGAGAATCTCTTCTACATCAACCCTGACAATGGCCTCATCTCTCTCAGGAAGCTCCTCTCGGCTTCCACAGCCACAAGATACTCGGTGAGTTCTGCCTGCATCAATACCCAGCACAATCTATTCCTGCCATACCATTACCAGTAGGTAAATATCGTACCCCCCATACTCACACAGATATTGTACGTTTCAGCTGACAGTCAAAGCAACAGATCAGAGAATTCCTGAACAAACTGCTACTGCCCTAGTACTGATTTCCGTGACACGGGACAACAGTGCACCATTCTTTGTGGGAGGACCCTATGCTATCAGCGTTCCTGAAACCCGGGAGATCAATTCCACCATTGTTGCGGTCAGTGCTCGGGACAGTGACATGAAAGGGTCTATACAGTACGAAGCCATAGGCGTTTACCCAGCAACATCCTTCTTCAATGTTGAGGCGACCAGCGGCAACATCAGGATCATCCGTAGTCTGTTGACAGATGGCCTTCTGTTCACGTCATACACTGTAAGTAGTTCCCCGCTAGTCACTCCTCTGGCCATCTTATTCGGCTGCTTATACACTATATTGACAACAAAATCTTTCTTCTAATTAACAACTGGGCTTTGCTATTTCAGCTGAGAGTGGTCGCCTTTGATACTGCGTATCCCACAGCCAGAGCCACCAGTGATGTAACCATCGTTGTTATACGTAATGAAAACGGCCCTAGCTTCCTCCCATCCGCAACATATGAAACACAGGTGTCCGAAGATGTCGTGATTGGTACCAGCATCCTCCAAATCACTGCAGTGGACCAAGATGCAGGGGTAAGTCTATGGGTATTTCCTCACAGTAGGCAGTTAGTGGTATGTATGTATAGAGACCTAAAACTGTATTTCATAGACTGACTGTATTTACTTCTGTTAACATGTGATCTATGTTGGTGTTTCAGGACGTCGTGACGTACCAGCTTGTAAACGCCACATCGAGTGGAACACAATACTTCTTCCTTGACCGAGATGCTGGGATCATAAGCACCAAAAAAGCGCTCAGTGGAGCTCCTGAAGACCTGTACACAGTAAGTACTAGATCATCACTTACGTTCCGTATTGACTACTCGAAATTCCTGTCCTTTGATAGTAAATACTATACTTGGATATGTATAACACGTAAACTTTATCTCGCCAACAGATCAATCTCAAGGCAGAGGACAACCGAGGCCGATTTGCACAAGCATCAGTTCGGATTATAATAGTTCGTGTGACCGACAACCCACCTGTGTTCCTTGACGCACAATACAGAGCAACCGTTGACGTCAATAGGCCCCTCAACTCATCGGTCATCAATGTCCGGGCAGTTGATCCAGATTTGGGCGTAAGTAGATCACCTCCCCTATTAAGCTTCAAGATCACTTCTCCAGTGTTTGTTGTTGCTAAAACTGAAAGGTTAACGTTATTGCAGTTTCCACTTTTAACCTTTGACTATTTCTGTTTTTTCAGAATGAGATCCGGTATGATTTGGTGGGTTACTTCCCTGGAACCGAGTATTTCACCTTGAACCCGAGTAACGGGCAGATAACTCTGAAGAACAACTTTGGGGCTGATACATATAAGACGCTTCTTTATGTGGTGAGTGTTTGTAGTGAACAGCTACAAAGGGTGGTTTTAAGCCCATCCTTAAGAATGTAATTACTTGTATTAAAATTTTAATATTCATGTGTAATATGAACATGTTTTTTTACATACACATGCATTTGTCCTTACGCTGTATCTAACTGGGACGCTACTTTACAGTTGCGAGTCGAGGCATATGAGACTTTGCGTCCTGAAATCCGTGTTGCCGTAGACGTATTGATCGACATCAACCGCAACCCCAACGCCCCCGTCTTCAGCAAAGGCGTTTACGTGGTGACCATCCCCGAGTCCACAGTCCAGGGAGCCAGTGTCCTGCAGATCACTGCTACTGATGCTGACGGGGTAAGTTCCCAGCAATACCACCTCTCTTAATTCATCCTTAGTAGTACCTATGGAATAACCTGATGTAACACCAACAGTGTATTACATAAGTAATCCCCTTCTTTTCCCAGGACATCCCAATGTACCAGTTTAACCAGTTAGACGTTAACGGTCGAGATGCAGCTGAATTCTTCTTCTTGAGTGCTTCAACAGGCGTCATCAGTGTCCGGAAACCTCTTAAAGAGGGCACCTCCCGACAATACACAGTAAGTGCCTACTACCTGTATGTTTGTCAGAACACTTGTGGGTGGAATAACTGAATATCACTCTTTCGTGTGTATGAGTAAATGAAAGATACATACTATTTGAAGTGTAAAACTCTCATATGATGTACTTTACAGTTCACTGTGCAAGTCCGCGACCAGGCGTTCCCTGAACTCTTCAGCACTACCACCGTCCAGATCAACATAGACAGAGATCAGTTCCCGCCTGTCTTTACTCAGATGACCTACGTTACAGCTATCACTGAGACTACTGAAGTGAACACCTCACAGCCTATTGTTGTGGTGCAGGCTGCTGACAAGGACAGAAGGGTAAGTGGGATGTTGTATAGATCTACGTCAGTATACAATAATAGCGATATCATACCGGTAATAGAACTGATACGTGTACGATTTATGAACTAAACCTGACTGTTTTATTACAGGAAGATATTGTGTATGAAGCGATTGGCGATGGCTCAGCTCTGGCTTTCTTCAGGATCGACTCAACTTCTGGAGCAGTATACGTCAAGACTCCTCTGATCCAGGATAGTCTTGTTCTATATACAGTAAGTTAATTTGCTCGAACAGAAATGCACAACATATAAATAACTTCAACACATCACTAAACTGTAACTAGATGTGACCATTTGATTTAAGACTACATTATCATTTTATTATTTCAGCTTCGAGTACAAGCCTACGACACGTTCTATCCAACCAACATCGGCTACAGCACCGTCACCATCAGTGTAATCCGTAACCCCAGCGGACCCGTCTTCACCGCCAACGAGCATGCCAAGTCAGTTCTGGAGTTTACCACTGTAGGGTCCCGGATCATCACCGTCACTGCAACTGATGCTGATGGGGTAAGACGTTGTTACCGTTGATACATCAAACGGTAATAAATATATCGCATTTGTATTTTAGATGTAGTACACGTACATGATTTGAAACGTAATGTGAATATTTTTGTTGTAAACGAAGCAAGTTGCTAATTTGACGATTCCTGTTTTAGGATGTCCCAGTCTATTCGCTTGTGGGAGGTATGGAGGCACTGGAGTATTTCTACATTTCCCCCAGCTCAGGGGACATCTTCCTGAAGAAACGCCTCTATGAGAGTCCAACACAACAGTACCAGGTACGTACCGTGTTTCACGAAGGTCAAGGTCACGCTTATATACTAAGACGTCTTTGATGTCACTTGGAATATATGTTCAACAAGATAAATTTCCTCCCGCTCTTAAACATAAAATGTGACATCTTTTCCATTACAGATGTTCGTACAGGCCTCCGATCAGCGTAATCCGGTCAGACTGACAAATACAACAGTGTTTGTAACTGTTGCGAGAAGCCAGCCTCCGCGCTTTGTCCAAGGGCCATACTCATTCAGTGTTTCAGAAAAGACACAGATTGGCACGTCGGTCTACGGTGTCAGTGCCATTGACTCTGACAAACAGGTACACTTTGCTTCTTTCATAGCGGTAAATGGATTTCATGGACTAATGGTCCAACAATTTACGCCTATAACTCCCCAGGAACCGAATGTTAACAAGCACTATCAATTTCAGGGCACCATCACGTATGAAATTGTCGGTGACGCCCCAGCCCCCAGCTACTTCGCCATCAACTCCACCACGGGGGTGGTGACAGTCCGTTCCAACCTGCTGCTAGACAGCAACCAGAACTATGTCCTCCGTGTCAAGGCACACGACTCAGCGTTCATGTCTCAAATAGCGACAGCCACCATCAGCATCTTCATCGCAAGGAACGACAACCCACCTATCTTCATCAGAGAACCATATACCATCGAGCTGCCAGAAGAGTTCGCTTTAGGACAACGAGTCATCAACATAACTGCGGAGGATGCAGATAACGTAAGTATAAATAGTTGATACCATCCATAAACAGATGGTTCCAGACATCCGCTTTCTTTCACTAAAGAATGTTTAGTGCTATATTTTAATCGCTTGTTGTTTGTTTTTAGGACAACATCCGTTACAGCATGTTAAGCTCCAGCCTCGCCGACTACTTCTACCTCAACCCAGACACCGGAGTCATCTTCCTGACCAAGAGTCTTGAATCAACAGTCCAGAACAGCTTTTTGGTAGGCACTGATTCTAGTGAAGGATATAATACAGCCGCTGTAAACGTCTATAGAAATAGATATTTGTGGGTTACAATGCTCTAATCACACATGTTTTATTTTAGTTGTCGGTTCGTGCAAGTGACAGCCGCATTCCTCAACGTAGCAACGACGCGACTGTGACCATCACTGTCAGAAGAAACAAGTTCTTGCCTCAGTTCGTTGGCCTTCCCTACACAGTGACCATCGGCGAAACACGCCCTGTAAACGACACCATCCTCTCCGTCGCCGCAGTCGACAACGACCAAAGGGTACGTTGTCAAGGTTCACATAAACGATAATGTCAGCAACATATTTACATATTTACTGTTGCAGAGATTTGGTATTTGTGATCGTTAAATGTATTTGTCGTCTTTTAGGGTACCCTGGTATACGAAGCTGTGGGATTCTATCCAGCACAGAGCTTCTTTGGAATCAATAACGTCACTGGTCATATCACTGTGATACAGTCGTTGAAGAATGACGGTCTCGCTCGCACTGAATACACAGTAAGTACTGATAGTACTCATTAAGTCAACCAAATTGATGGACCTGTGTTAACCTTCCCAAAACAACGGACCGATTCATATGAAAGAATAGTCTCACATATTGTTTTTACAATTTTCAGCTCCGTGTGGTTGTCTACGATAACCTGGTTCCCGCTCAAAGACTCTCCGCTGATGTCTTGGTGTCTGTCGGGCGCAATCTGAACGCACCAACACTAACTCAGACCCGATATTCTCAGGCTGTTGAGGACGATTTCCCTCTCGGTGTCCCGGTTCTGAACGTGACAGCTTCGGATCTTGATGGGGTGAGTGTCTCGAAGCATCCTGTAAAAACAACAAAGCATTAACAAACAGGAATTCCTCCAACCATATATTATATCCTTTAAATGTTTAATGACACTGTTCCCGGTGTTTTCAGGACACAATTTCGTATGACATCGTCGCCGATAACAGCGGTGGATCTGCACTTTCGTTTTTCTTCATTGAGCGACCAACCGGAGCTATTTTCCTTAGACAACCACTCTCAGCGTCAAGTGCTAATACGTTCGCGGTAAGTAATCTTGTTAGATGTTTTAGTAGAAAGAAGGAGTTGTAATATTGTTAGAAAAAGGCTGACGTTTTACATTAATGAAGTTTCCTCATGGTTGAGTTTTTCATGCTACTGAAAATGGTCAAAAGTTAGAAAAAGGAAGAAACACGTTGCACTTGTTTGGCTTTGAGTCATTCAAGCACAGTTTTTCCCCTAATGTATAAAATATTTACTAATAATATTCAGTATATATTCAATCTGAAGTAAGCAATGTCTTCAATGTAAGCACAGTGTTTATCCTTGCCACATCTACCTTGCAGATGACAGTCCGTGCCACTGACAGCGGTCGGCCACCTCGCGAGTCGCGGGCGGAGGTTGTCGTGTATGTACGGAGGGATGAGTTTGCCCCACGGTTCGAGAATTCCCCACTCGTTGTGGTGATCCCCGAGACCACAGCCAACGCCTCGACTATATTCACCGTCACCGCCACCGATCAAGACCAGCAGGTAGGAATCTGGACCACGTGATCAGGAATTCTGTTTGCGAATTCATCAAGTGTAAGATGTGAAACAAGTTTAGAGTCTTCATCTCTTCAGCTGTAATAGAACTCTCGTTCTTGCTTAAACTGAACAGTGTTTTTCTTCTTGCTTATCTATATACTCATTTCTCTTGTAGGGTTCAATCCAGTACAGCGTGATGGGGGTTCCGCCAGCACCAACCTTCTTCATGGTTACCTCTGGTGGCAACATTGTTGTCAGAGGTGACCTCAGGAATGACCGCGCCATGAACTATGTTGTAAGTGTATCGGATAAAAACAAATATATATACTTTTAAGTCGTGTTTAGTAGAATATGACGGCGGGGAATACCAGAAATGGGCTTCAAATATTGTACCCGAGATGAGCGAATGCTTTAACCAGTAAGTTACCTCACCACTCTGTAAGGAATGTGTATCACCTCTCACTATGTTCCTTTATGCATTTACAGCAGTATTAACTAATCGTTATTCTTGATATTCAATTGGAATTATTCATTCGCAGCTGCGTATCCGAGCTGTAGACAGCGCTAATCCTAACCTGTACACCGAAGAGGACGTGAAAATCTCCATCTTGCGGAACGTCAACCATCCTGACTTCCAACAACAATCCTACTCCACACGCATATCGGAGACGACGCGCATAGGAACATCGCTGTTGACTGTCGTCGCTAACGACGCTGACAATGTAAGTAATGTTTGGTTACGAAACTACCTAGAGTCAGTTCATGGACTGTTACTTGCATTATATAAAAAAACGCCCGATAGTTGAAAACTTTTCGTACAAATGCCACACATAAAGAATCAGGCATTAATCAGACCTCTTTGTGTTTTCAGGATCGTCTTACATATGATATACGCGGCGACGAGCGATGCGTCACCATGTTTTATGTCGGTGCGGATAATGGCTTCATATACCTCCGGCAGTCGGTTATGGATACGGCCGATAGCTCATTTACAGTAAGTCTCCTATAATATGTACAGAATGACAACTTAAAAATCGTTGAGATTCCATAAGCTAACTCACTGCATCCTGCTTGGAAATATCTCTAATTCATCTCGTTTACTATTTCAGTGTACCGTATCAGTGTCTGACAATGGCTACCCAACTGCAAACACTGCGACAACAACAGTCTTCATCGGCATCGACCGCGACACTGTCGTACCCGTCTTCTCATCCAATGGTAGATACGCTGTCAACATCAACGAAAACATCGCCGTTGGCAGTTTCATCAGCGCTGTGCAAGCAACAAGACAGAACCTGGCTGTATGTGTTTCGTGAACAATATGTCTGAAATATTTCCGAAAATGTCTGTGAAATATTTAACAGGATTTGATTGCTTCTCAATCCTTATAAATATGTTTTTTCCTTTTATCTACGACTTATCCCTATTGTTTCCAGGGTCGCATGTATTACGAAATTATCGGCAACTATCCTGCACCAAGTTTCTTCAAGGTTCACAATATGACTGGTGAAATAACAGTTGAGGAAAACCTCCGCAATGACAATCTTCGACTTGGGTCCTACACGGTACGTATTGACCTCGAATAGACTGAATCACTTACTACAGTTGTTTCAAGCTCATATATTGTACATGACGTAAACTTCACGCAGTGTTCACTCAGACACCATATGTTCATTCATTGCAGCTTCGTGTCCGTACCTATGACACGAGCGTGCCACACCTTGCTGCCATTGCCGAAGTGTACATAACGGTACTCCGGAACCTGAACGGTCCAGTGTTCAGTCCCTCTACGTACAGAGTGACGCTCAGGGAAGACGTGGACGTGGGAACATATATCCAGAAACTCAACGTATCGGACCCCGACGGCGTAAGTTGACCTTTCAATAACATAGTCGAGGTCATATAACGGTACATACACCACTGTTTTATGAGCATTCTGTTTGATGATGTATAATCAACACCATTTCTTCCTCCAGGTTCAACTCAGTTGCTCAGTGGACGCACAAGCCTACTTTGCCATCGACGCAAGCACTTGCTTACTCCGAGTTTCCAAAGCTCTTACAGATGATACCAGCAAGGCAACCGAATACACTGTAAGTACAGTACGAGCATTGAAATAAACACTATACCTACTGGGCTCTTTTTCTGATTTTCTTCTTCTTTCAAATAGAAGTCCAAGTGTTAATGTTTTATACTAATTATTGGTTATTTTTTTATAAGATCTTCGTGACTGCGACTGAGATGACCAGCAGCAACCGTCAGTTCGCCACGGCCAGCGTCCAAGTGACCGTCCTCCGTGACCTGTACTCCCCTCAGTTCAACAACCTCCCCGCCACCATAGACGTGAACGAGGACATCCCAGTCGACAGAGCCATCTTCACTGCAGATGCATACGACGCGGATATCCAAGGAACAATAAAGTATGAGCTGACAGGGGTCTTCCCAGCAAAAAGCTTCTTCGAGATCGACCCTTCTTCTGGTGCCATCGTCCTCATGAACAGCCTCCTCTCAGACACGCTTGGCCGCACGTCGTACACGGTGGGTCCAAGTCCGGTATACTCTATACACAGCAAGGAAATAATGAACACTTCGTAATGAATTATGTGGCAAACTAATGCCGTACAAAGTTATATTTACTTATTTATTTCTATTACTTAGGCTCGGGTACAGATTTACGACACCGCACGACCCGACAACCGCACACAGGCAGATCTCGTCATCCGGGTAGTGAGGAACTCCAATGGTCCCATCTTCTCTTCTGCGAGTTACGAAGCTTCTGTGGAAGAGAACTTCCCCCTGTATCAGTCCCTGGTTCAGGTCGTCGCTAGTGATGCTGACGGGGTGAGTCCTTATACGATGTCATGGTGTTCCTGTGTTGAATGTGCATGAATATTTCTCTGTGATTACTACAGACGATATGTCTACCAAACGTTATATGCCCATCAAATACTTACTATTCACCTAGAAATACATTAAAGACAAAGGTACTTATGCATATATTTAATTATTTCCAGGACAAGCTCACATACACCCATCTAGGCACTGCCGAGGAACAGAAACTATTCTATCTGAATCCAGACAGTGGAGTTATTTCCCTTGGTTCATCTCTGCAGGACACGTCCAAGAATCAGTTTGTGGTACGTGATCACCTCAATTATCAGCTCATACAAAACCTTCAAATAATATATAATATAGTTATATGATGAAATTCAACAAGATAATAGCTTAAAAATGATCAGTCTAATAAATTCTCTCATTTTAGTTCCATTATGACCAGTGTGACAAATGAAGCAAATTACACATAGCATCATCTTAATCCAATATTTTAATGACGTTTCCAGTTCGAAGTAGAGGCTTCAGACAATCGCGCCTCCAGCATAGCCAAAACAAATCGTGTGACCGTGGTTATAACTGTACAACGAGACAATGGTCCCCCACGGTTCCTGAACGCTCCATACGTCTTGGATGTCCCCATCCGACAGCCAGTCAACTCCAGCGTGGTGATCGTCATCGCCCGTGACCCCGACAACAAGGGAATGATGAGGTACCGACTGGACGGCATCGCCCCCGGCACCGACTACTTCTCCATCAGCGACATCACTGGCAACATCATAGTGAAGCAGGAGTTGACTCTCAACACCGATGTCTATGCTAAATATACGGTAAGTTGCGAAATAACAGATCTTCCCCAAAACAAATATCAGGCATTTTGTGAAGTTGACTTTTTATCTGGCTTATAATACAAGTCATATTTCATTGTAAATCAATGTTTAATTTTTGACACTAATATAATATAAATAGTTCACAAAACTGTTTTTCGTTTTTTCACAGCTTTTGGTATCTGCTTATGACACCAGCAGTCCAGAGATCGTCATAACAGAGCCAGTTCAGATTAGAGTGTTGAGGAACCTGTATTCCCCAGTTTTTGTGACGAAGTCGTACATGCAAACCATCTACGACTTCATCCCTGTAGGATCAAGCGTGCTACAAGTCACTGCCACGGATGATGATATTACCGTAAGTAAACCTTTGAAAACATGTCACCTACAGATCTAAATGTTTATAACAATATAACAATAAAAACCCTCAATGTAATCCCCACATGACATTCACACATCCGTTACGCTATGGAGGATGTAATCCAACATAACTAAGGTGTGACTTTGATTTATTGTGTTTTTATTCAGGCTCCGGAAAACACCTTCACATACGACATAGACAATACTTCGCCAGCCAACGAGTTCTTCTCAGTGGATCCCTTCAGTGGCATTATTAGAACCACAAAGGATCTGTCAGAGAGCACCGCTTCCTCCTACGTGGTGAGTAGAATTCTGTCCAGATAAATACTGAACAATATACCAGCCACAAGAATACTATTAAAACATTTTCGGTGCAAATGTTTTAATCATCAGTCTCACGTTATTCTTATCGAATCCCCATACTACAATGATTGTATCAACCGAATACCTGCTGACACGTGTTTTTCTTTACAGTTTAATATAATTTCCCGTGATCTGGGCGCCAGTAGTCGATCTGACACCGCTACTGCTACAGTTGTGATCCAGCGAAACAGTGGACGGCCAGTGTTCATCAACCCTGATCAGTATGACGTCACCGTGTCCGAGACCATGTCCGTGTTGTCCCCTATCCTACACGTGCAAGCAGTGGACACCGACTCTGTGGACACGCCCAATGGTCAGATCGTCTACACACTCACTGGTCCAGCAGAGGCGCAACGGTTGTTTGAGGTTCATATGATGACTGGAAATATCACGGCCAGAGTCTCCCTCACAACCGCTGCTAATGACACCTACGAGGTAAGAAAATATATCATTAATGAAATATATGGACCGCAACAAATAAAATATGTCAAATACCATTATTTATAAAATACATGTATGGATAATAATTTTCAAAATGATCAAAAAGTAATATTTATATTTGACGCTATATATTTTAAATTAAAGTTCTGATGTTTTTCCCATGACAGCTCACTATTCGTGCCAGCGACCGAGGCACACCAACTCAGAGCTCTGAAGTAACAGTGGTCATCCGAATTCGTCGCGAAGGAACCCCGTTCTTTCAGGAACCAGAATACATCGTCAGTCTGACTGAGAACACAGCAATAGACACTGTAGTGATTGACCTGAATGCCACAGACCCACTTGATGTAAGTTGTTAACGCTCCAACATCAACATGAAAAAGACGTAATTGAATACAGAACTTCTGTGTGTAAACAACCTTTCGTCAACTATCAGATGCGATAACATGCGGTGCCATTCATATTGATATTGTCTGTTTCAGAATAAGCTGATCTATGAGATCAATGGTGACGGAATGGCCTCTACATTGTTCCGCGTCAGTCCAGATACGGGTCTAGTGAGCGTGGCCCAACCCTTCAAAACAGACACTCAGGAGTCCTATGTTATCCGTATACGTGCCTACAGACAGACGGACGCAGCAGTGTTCGCCACAGTGATTGTCAGAGTGGTCATTACCAGGAACGCCAATGCTCCAAGCTTCTTGCATAATGACCTGGTGTTTAACTTGGCGGAGAATTACCCTCTGGGCGTTTCACTGGGTCAGCTCAATGCTACAGATAAGGACATCGTGAGTACAAGGCTACACATCCTCTCTCTGCTGTATCTGTTTGATATGAAAAGGATCAGTACTTTAAATTTGATTTTTGAAAATTTGAATTATTACCATTGAATTTTTTAAAGAATTTTCAAATTTAATAATTTATATTCCAAATTAATCTTAATGTAGTTATTTTATCATTTGTTTCAGGGAATAATGGTAGAATAACGTACACCATCGACGCCCAGAACTCCATACCCTGTACGTGCGCGACTTCTTCTACGTCAGCCCTACAACAGGTACCCTGTCGGTAACCAAGAGCCTCCAAGAAGACGCCAACCAACCCTGAGTTATGTCCTCAGTATCCTAGCAACAGACAATGGGTACCCTACTAAATTCTCAGCACTTCAAGTGACTGTCAACGTTGTTAGAAACCGCAACGGTCCTGCTTTCTCCAGTGACGTGTATGAGACTGATATCGATGAGGATGTTTCTGTTGGAACCAGCCTCCTGCAAGTACAGGCTGCAGATGCTGATGGTGTAAGTGGGATCATTCATCATCGCCAGATACATTCTTAACTCAATTTCATCATCGTTTGAAGAAAGTCAGCCGGCTTTTCAAACCATACTAATCAAATTTAAAACATTCATTTATCTGTTTGTGGTATAAGCTGAGGCACTTAGTAAATGTCACCTGAATAATGCTTAAAAGGATTTAAATGGAAAACGTGGATCATTATCAGTTTCAATTTTAATGTGTTTGTCAGGGTTCGTTTGATAGGTATTGCTGACAAATAATGTGGTAATGTTTCAATTACAGGGCCGAGTCACCTACACTCTCCTGTCAACTATACCCACATCGCTGTACTTTAACGTGGACGAGAACACCGGCGTGCTGAGTGTGGCGGCGTCTCTGCTGATGGACAACGCAGCTGTATACACTGTAAGGATCACCTGTCTGAACATAAAACACAACTAAAACACCGTTATCCATATAGTTAGCTCGATGTGTGACCGCTACATACTAGACAGAGACATTTATGTTTGTGGACTGCCAACCACATTAAGTTCCAGTCAATGCTACAAGGTAGAATGTCATGGCATGTCTAACAGATGGAAAATGTTGGCCTTTATAAAAATGGGAAATAAACACAATCTGTTTTCCAGATGACCGTGAGAGCCCGGGACTACCCAGGTGAAGGTGCCCTGTACCGCAGCAGTGAGGCTACCCTGGTTGTCACCGTGCGACGTAACCCCAACACCCCGGTGTTTGTACAGTCGACGTACAACATCACCATCTCCGAGTACACGGCTGTTCAGGACGTCGTAGCAACCATCAGGGCCACAGATGCAGACCCTAGTGACGTGAGTTGCCTTCATACTTTAATGATTGGTATCCTATTAAAAATTGTAAATTGTGATACTTTCTTGACCCTTTCTACTCCTTTCAAATTAATAAAATTACATGAATAATAATAATTATTAATAGATGTAATTACGATGATTATGATGATTGTAACAAGTATACAATCATAATGATATAAATAATGTTGTCTTCTAGACGCCAAGCGGCCAGCTAGTGTACCGCATCACCAGCGTGACGTTCCCCGGCTTCCAGAGCTCCACCCTCCGAAATAACTACGACTTCTTCATCATCAGTCCGACATCAGCAGACATATATCTGGCCCAGACTCTCAGCAAACATGGTGTCCCAGATACGTTTTATGTAAGTGGCACGCTAAGGTCGGATATGTCCGAAATTTCAGCAAAATGTAAACACATCTACCATATCAAATACCTTCTGTGTAAGTGGCACTCTAACGTCGGAATAACTAACAGCAAATTACAATCATGAAAGATTACAGGAAACCAAAATACATCTGGAATATCAGATACGACTTTAAAGGGTCTACAGAACATATAGAACGCGCCATCTCTTGTCTCCAGATTACTATTGAAGCTGCTGACCGCGCCCTGCCTCCCAAGATCGCCACTGCTCAGCTGGAGATTCACATTGTCCGCAACATACACACCCCACGCTTCACTTCCACAAGCTATGGGGCAACTATTGAGGACACTGCGGCTGTTGGGAGAACGCTGTTCACTGTCACCGCTCTTGATGCTGATGAGGATGTACCTCTGAATCAAAATGTAAGTTCATTTTATTTTTATTGAAACATTAACAATTTATTTTGGAAAATCATTGCGTTAAGCAATACATGTCATATCCCAGTAACCATTGAGTAGAGACGGCGGTTGGGTAGCCTGATGGTGAAGCGTCCGCTCGTTATGCTGAAGATCCGGGTTCGACCCCCCCACATGGATACCAGGTGTGAAGCCCATTTCTGGTGTATCCCGCCTAAATGGCCTTGATATTTCTGGAATATTGCTAAAAGCGGCGTAAAACCACACTGACTGACCCACCATGGAGTGGACTGTTTCTTAAAGTTGTATGTCATGTCAATAAATTGAGCTCAAACATGAAATGTATCTTTAACTATTTCAGACCCCCAACGCAGAGTTCAATTATATTGTTGATCCCAAATACAAAGACGCAGTGTGGTACTTCGACGTCAGTTCCGATGGCATCGTGAGCATCAGGAACCCGCTCGTATCAACTGATACTCCGTCATTCTTCGTAAGTATATGGCCCTGACCGAAGGTATTTAAACCTGTCATAATCTTAAGTTTCCAGTTGTTGGGAAATCGAGGTCTTCGTAAAAAAAAGATATCATTTGATTTGTGTTTCATGAAGGCATTGAATATGTGTTTTGTCTTTTCAGTTCAATATTATTGCTATTGACAAGAGCTGGACACCGTTAAGCAGCCGAGTTCCAGTTCGCATCAACGTGACCCGCACCAGTACAGGGCCCAGGATCCTCGGCTTCACAGCGCCTATTTATTAGTGAGTCTCTTCAACGGTCTCCATCGCCTTCACTATTCAATTGACGTCGTAAAGCTCAACTTCCGGACTTTATTGTCCCCGTGTCAATATACTCAAAATGTAAATGCTTCCTTTTCAAATGATGCCATTCAAATATTCATTTAACTTTTACTGGGCGATTCGTTGAAGTGGAATGAGTTATCAAAGAGCACAGAGAATAACGTGGTGGCTTAATGGTTAATAACTTCCGTGTTATCTCTTTCAGCGTTGTGCTACCGGAGAACTCGGTCGGGGACGGCAACCGCTTTAAATCATTGATAGTCCTGGACACGGAGAATCAAGACATTGATCTCAATGTGGAGTGCCGAATCATCTACATTAACGGGGATGCTGATTTGGTCGGGAGTAAGTGTGAACATAAATTCAGTAACACCAATCTCAAAAGCTAATCGAATTGAAAAATAAAAACATTGTGATTTTGATTGATCAGTTTAAATCATGTTTAATTTACTGTTAATTTTTATGATGTATTAATTAACATGTTCTCATTGTAGCTATATTCAGTGTTCGGACAACCCGAGACGGCAAGAACTGCGAGCTGTATATGATCGGGAACTTGGACAGAGAGCAAGGAAGCCTGTATAACATCACTGTTGGAGTCCATCACCAGACTACTGTCAGCAAGCGATCTATCAACAATGCAGGTACGTCAGCAGATTGTCTCATTTCTCTTACAGGACCATGTTCTCCCACAATCATCTAAATATAATAATTCAGTTACCACAACTCAATTTATCAGTTTCCCAGGGCCGACGATTAATTGCTATTTGTTATGGGTTGCAGTATACAACACGTGGGAATACACCAACATATTGGTGTCGGTGACTGACGTCAACGACAACGCCCCCTCGTTCAACTTCCCCGTGTATCCTGTCGTTAACCTGCAGGCATATGTGACGGCTATAAGCATAGCAGCGCCCCCTAACAGCAAGGTCACTCAAGTGCAGGTAAGTTCACACACCACTATGTGTAGGACATTGAAACCGGTATTCCGGAAAACCCTTTACACCACGGCTTCTGGACATTCCAGTTAGAGATAAGAAAAGTAATTTTCATAAAATAATACTTTCTTCAAATGTGGAATGTGTTGGTTTAAAATAATATTTTAATCAAATGTGTTTTCTAAAGTGTATGTATCTATGATATTTTTTTTCAACTGAGTGTTTTGAAAAATTATAATTATATGAGTAGCCTCCAATTTGTTTTTCTATGTTTAAGATGTTTGTAATAAATAACATTGACGAGGTATTCAAAAGTGTAACGCGCACCTTTCTCCGCCAGGCGACTGACCCAGACTTAGGCCTGAACGGGATAGTGTCCTACTCCGTCAGCCCCATCCCAGGGCTGTTTGATGAGGTGCCTTTCTACATCAACTTTGACGGGGAAATCTACACCACAAAGGACTTCTCCCACGAGGAAGCCTTCCCGCGCCAGTTTGTGTTCAAGGTCACAGCTAGCGATAACGCAATGACGTCAGAACGGCTACAAGCGGAATCAAATGTTTACGTAAGTAAACACTTAAGACAATCAATGCAGCGTTTGATAGTGTTGTTGTCTTGACAACCATCACCATATCCGTATTGTACGCGGGTGCATGTCTTAATGAAATAATGCTTAATGAAATAATGCTATCTGTTACAGGTGAACCTAATTGAAAACAAGAACCGGTTTATTCTTGTTCTGACGAATACCCCTCCGGAAAACGTTATACCAAAGATGGAGTTCTACAGACAAGCACTACAGAATGTCACTGGACGTATCATTATCATCGAGAAAATCCAAGGCCGACTGTTTACTGAAGTAGGATCCAGCGTGTTGGACCTTGACATCACTGGGTAAGATGGCATTCTCCTCTCCTGTCCTGTTAGCCTTCTCTATAGGAGAAGATCAATGTAACTTGCTTATCATTGACCAAATCAACGTGCACTTTGACGTACATGTATTTGTTCAAATATGCGACAGTATCTAATGAAGTCACTGTTTTTTCAGAACGGATATCACCTTCGTCGTGGTGAACAGCGACAGCTTCCGACTTGAAGAAAACACTGCTATGGACATGTGAGTATATATATATCTTGGTGATTTGGAAACACATGTTTATGTCAAGCCGTACTGTTGGCTCGGCTGTAAACAAAGATTGATACGACTTATATCAAAGGTTTTAATGATTTTACTCGGTATTATATATGAGTACAAATTTCCTTTGAATATGTAACCATTTGTACCCCTTAACACAAAACTTTAATCAACACTGAATGAATATTTACCTAAGGAGAACTGACAATTATTATAAACAAAATAAAGAGAAATGTACGTTGGGAATACATGTTTACTCTTAACGAACAATTGACAACATTCTTGTTTATTTACAGTGTAACCACAGAAAGCGACCAATCAAAGGCGATCTTGGCCCGTGTGAAACAATCGGCACTACAGATAGGCAGTTTCGTCTCCATGATTCGTAAGCCATACCAAGCGAACGCCATGTCCCGAAGTTCGGCATTTCTAGGCGGTGGCGTGATACAGGTCACTAAGTCTTATGTGTGGTGGCTGAACAACCCCTGGGCAGCCTTCGTGGCTCTCGGCGCCATCATCATCGTCCTCAGCCTTGTTGGAATCATCGTTCTTCTTTATCTTTGGTCAAGGTTGGTACAAAACACAATATAAAATACGCTAATATTGGCTAACAATGTGATCGAACCAAAATAACGGCGATTTATCATTGTAAACAAGCGAATCGCTGAAAATATTCTGATGTTTTCACTAACTCTTTTTGACTCTGAAAGCATTAATATCATGTATATTTGAAAAAACATCTTATAAGAACACGTTATATTTTCAGGTATACTCACTATCTGCATCAGTTCAGGATTTACCATTCAAACTTCACCAATCCTGACTTCACCGAACCACCCAGTTTCCTCAGAGAATATGAAACTCAGGTAAATACATAGTCTGCCAGTTCCCATATCATCTTCTACCTACTACCTACACCTACAGCAAATATCTACGATTCATACACACGTTCTCATTTCACAGTCGGAATCCTTTAATCGGCTGAGCTGCTTGCAGTTATTTCTTATGACTATGGAAAGGTGGAAGCAAATTTACAAACTAATCTTTGTGTAACACTGACGGTGTTTCAGTAAATTTGTTTGAAAGATTCATTACTGTGAAGTGTTCCCATGAATATGTGCTGATGATAATCTATTCTCCCCTCAGAGTCTCAACATGTACGTCCCCCCTGACGAGACGGTGCAGGCGCTTGGGGAGATAAACATGAACTTTGACTTAGACACGCCCCGTCCCCCTGGCACTCATGGAAGAGGTTCCACACGCAATCCCATCTACCAAAGGTGAGAGACCTGAATGGTTGCCATTGGAGCTCATTAATTCGATTTCCTTAAGCTGTGAACTAAAAGTGTTTGTGTTCATTTATCGAAAAAAGGTCTTTGGTTATAAAAAAAATTTCATTCATGTATAACAAAATCCTTTCTGGTTTATTTTCCAGTCCCCGCGAGCAGCACACTGGCTACGTAGAAGGAACGACCATTTTGTAACTGAAGACTGACGTAATCAACTTGATGGGCGATGATGATTGTCCGTACTGAGGACAACCCACACAATTAGTCCCCCAATAAAACATGTGTTGTATATTTTGATCATAAAACATTGGTATTTTAAACACTACAATCGCAATCAGATGTACTGATGTAAAATCATATTTGTAAGTATGTACAAATGTAAATATGTATATGAAACATTCCAAATGATATCCATATGTATATAGTGACATACTGTCTCGAGAGTTATATTTTGTCATTGCCAAATGAAATCCTTTTGTATATTTATACACTTTTTTATACACTGCTATTTAATAAAAAACTATCATTAATATACATATATGCGTTGTGTTGAAATTGATGCAGATGTAACACTTAATTACACTCAGGCGACTGAGCTCGATCTTGGCGTCATAACACACTGTCACACTGAGAGTAACCTGTATGGCTATGTATGTATTACAGTCTGTAATTATAATGCTGTGACAATTTTACATTGTCGATTGGTGTCTTTCGACCAATACAGATTATTGGTGATCAAATCCAACTCGGAACCACACAGGGCTGATGTGTTTGGATAACGCCCTGACACACTCTTGTATTATAATTACAAAAAGCTTGTTGACATTGACCTGAGCTACTCTACATATTCATAACCCAGGAGGTCAAATGGCACAAACGGCATGTCGAGTTAATTTCATTAAATGCAGATGTTAAGCGGCGACCTTGTCTCGGCTGTTCGGGCATGTTGACAATCAGGTGACAAAGGTGCAGCCCTTCACAATAATAGACCCAGCCAGTTGTGACACGGTCACGCAATGCATTAGTATTCCCTTGATCAGGTCAAGCCGAACAAGCTGTAGTGGCGACATCAGTATGCTAGTATCACATGGCCATTCACACCAGGTGGATTTTATACTACATGTATCGATTATACACACTTTACGATATGTCGTACCTTGCAATTGCCTAATAGTATGCAATCTGACTGAACAGCTGATTACATTCACGGGAAGGCATCAGTCTGTAATGACGTTTTAGATGTGGGGACAATGTGTGTCCGTTTGTGTAGATAACAGCTGATCTCTATTCCTACACAGTTGTTTCTGTTCTGGTCAATCAATGTCACCACCGATGTTCTGGTCAATCACCGTCACCACCGATGTTCTGGTCAATCACCGTCACCACCGATGTTCTGGTCAATCACCGTCACCACAGATGTTCTGGTCAATCACCGTCACCACAGATGTTCTGGTCAATCACCGTCACCACAGATGTTCTCGTCAATCACCGTCACCACAGATGTTCTGGTCAATCACCGTCACCACAGATGTTCTGGTCAATCACCGTCACCACAGATGTTCTGGTCAATCACCGTCACCACAGATGTTCTGGTCAA